TTAAAATTAGCTGGAAAACTAATTAAGCATAGCTAATCCTGCTGGAGGCATGTGGCAAGGTTCCTGGCCCTTGGAGAGCATTTCTTGGATGGCTTAGTGAAATTCATCTGTGGGGTGGAAGGAAGTACATCAGGGGGCACTGGGTGGATCATGTGAGTAACTGGTGTGTAATTCTGCTGCATCCTGGCAGGAGCACTGGGAATGAGAGGCTGAGGGCACTGGGTACCAGTGACTGGGCTAGCCTGATGGTATGTGGAGCTGTGAGTGTGGTGTGATCCTAATTGCTGCTAATCCCTCACCAGGGATCCCTTGGCTTTGCCTGAGACAGCCTGGGAGCAAGTGGGGATGGCTGAGGTGTGGGAGTGGTGAAGGGAGATGGAGGCAGCTCAGCCTAGGTGAAGGGCAGTAGGAACAGTGAGGTATGTAAATAGTGATGGTGAGTGAGGAAGGGGAGATGGCCTGCATGCCTGCTGGGGTGAGACAGGAGCATGGGCCTTGAGTTAGTTGATTGAATTTAGGTAAGACACTAGAATTGTATCATAGAATCATAGAATGGTTTGGGTTGGAAGGGACCTTAAATCTCACCCAGTTCCAACTCACTTCCACAGGCAGGGACACCTTCCACTAGACCAGGTTGCTCCAAGCCCTGTCCAACCTGGCCCTGAACACTGCCAGGGATGGGGCAGCCACAGCTTCTCTGGGCAACCTGTGCCAGTGATTTGAGCCTTGAAACTTCCAGAGCAAGGCTGCTGAAAGAGCATAGGAATCCCAGAGAGATTTTCTGGGAATAACATGACCTTGTGCTGTGACACAAATTGTGAAGAAGGGAAAGGGCCTCAAGACTATGGGTTTAGGAAGCTGGGTTTGTTTTGGCCACACTTCAAGCTGTGTGATTCTGCTGCTGTGGTTCTTCCTGCTGAGAGCAGATATCTGTCCTGGAAGAGCCAAAGGAGAAATGTACAGTCTAGTTTGTCTTCTCAGGCATATTTCTTCTCTGCAGAAACTTCTAACAGACTTCCTACTTAAGGAGTCACTGAAGTCCTGTTTGTCACCAAAGGCATGTTCCTGTCCTCAACTTGTGAAACATAAATCTCATGAGAATGAGATTGCTGCTGAGCAGATAAAATGGGGAGGGGGGATGTGAAGGGGGAATGTGTCTGTCTGGGGGAAGGTGTCTGTCTGCACCTTTTCATCAGTCAAGTTGCCAAACATGCCAACTGCACCTCCAGCACTGCATCCCAGCCTGTGCTTCCTAAGAATAGCTCTTGAAATGTCTGCTCGTATTTATGTTGCTTGAATATCAAATTGAGTGATACCATAGAGGTAACCCAGACCTGGTGCTCAGTCAGGGTCACAAACCTGCAGTGAGGGGCTAGAAGTCAGTTAATGCTCAGCTGCCTGCCCAGGAGGGTTGGGAAATGCTGGGATGTGCTGCTCCTAGGCCTGTGTCTTGTGTCCGCTTGGTGGCCTGTGCTGCAGAAGGACCTCCCAGTTTTCCTGTATTAGCACTGAAAATTGTGTTTGTTGCTGTTCCAGTCTGGGTTTGGCAGTGCAGAAACAGCCGCTGCTCTTCCAGGCTCTAACTCTGCTGCCCTGGCCAGTTTCAGAGGTGAAAAGCCTGAGCTGGCCTGTGCCTGCTAGTTTAGTTTTACAGGTTTTGGAGGTTGTTATGGGTAATACTGGCAGGGAAGAGAAGAAATGGGGTTGGTTTCAGGAGAATTCTGTAGAAAACCATGTGAGACTTCATTGTTCACAAAAGCCTCATGGGTGGTTTACTTCCCAGGTGAGAGCCTGTTAAAATCTCACCATTCACAAATAGGAGTTTGAATTTATTTGCTGTTGACCATCCAAGCTGTCACAGCTGTATTTTTTAACTGTGAGAAATAAGCTCTCCTCAAAGTTGAGACTCTTCAACTCAAGATCCCCGCTGCTGGGTTTTGGCAAGGACAACGCAGGGCGCGTGGCTGTGGTCTCCATGGGACTGACCAGGGCCTTGTGAGCACTGGATTCAGGGGTGAGATGAGAGCTTTGGCCTTGCCCTCCTGCCACCCAGGGCTGAGCTGCTGCCTTAGCCTGGCGTGGTGCTGGGCCCATCCTGCTGATGGAGCAGAAAGCAGTGTGGTACCTGGAGGCTATCGCAGGAAGCAGCTGCAGGGTAACACTGAGTGTTTGGGGTCAGTGCAGCATGAAGATTAATGGTGCTGTGATGTACCTCTGCTCTGGATAGTGTGGGGAAAAACAACCCCAGTTACAGGACGATCCCCAGCAAGAGGGTGAGCACATGGTGTGCGTGTATGGCCTTCAGATAACGCCTTACACAGCAAGTACTTATCAAAACATCTTCCAGTGTCCCCTTTGCAAGCACTATGCACCAACTTGGGCATTTTACCTTTCTCTGGCATTTCAAGTCTACCCTGCTTCCTGCTAGCTGAATTTAACCATTCTATAGGGCTTTTAAATCTGACCTGTCTCCTGCTGGCCTGACCTTGCACTGGGAGGAGGAGGCTGCTGTGGCCCTACTGCTCTTGCCTCTGCCTGGTTACTCCAGGGCAGGGGTTCTTGTAGCACCTCCATATTTCACATGCTTTTGTTATTGTAGGCAGGAAGTTTCCACCCTTCCTTTTCCCCCTGGAGGTCAATACCCTGCAGTCCCCTGTCCTCCCTTGCTCTCACCTCAGGTCATCCCAGCAGCAGCTTCTCAAGTGGTGATGGGGCAGGGAAGCTGGCCTGTAAGGGGCTGCCAATGCACTAGATCTATCAGGACCAGCACACTGGGTCTGGGTTCTCAGGCTTTCTGCCTGTATCTACTCTGTGATGCCAGTGACAAACACCCCTGTACCAGACTGCTCTGGTTCTCGCTTTCTTTCATGCTGGTATGAATTGCTGCTCTGGGCAAGGGGGTGGCTGTGTCTTCCTGGGTCCTGCTCTGCTTTCCTTTACAGTGACTGAGACCAGCCTTGGTGGGGCTACTTCCCTGATGCAGTGTCTCCTCTGGATCTATTCCAATAAAACTCAAAACTTCGCAGCACACCTGAGTTTGTATCACCATCACTGGTGCTAATGATGCTGGCAGATGTGCTTGTGTGACACCCAGCAGAACCCTCTCTCTGCCAGCTTAAGTGATTCACTGGCTCAGTGCTGGTGGCACCCACTCCTACTGTGACCCCAGCTCTTGGCCACTGCACATCACTTAAACTGTGATCTGTGGGGAGGGCTGGGCATGTGTGAGGCTTCAGCTGAAGAAGAGCAGAAGCTAGAATTGTTACAAGGTTAAAGCCTCTTGAATTGCAGTATTTTTTACGAGGTCTGCCTTTGCAGTTTCCCTGAAAAGTGGCCTCTTAGCAAGGGCTGTGAGGATGCCACAGTAGCTGAAGTGATAGCACTGGGCTGCCACGCAGAGGCTCTGCTGGTCAGGCACCTGCTACCTTTATCCATGCTTCCAAATACTAAGTTATCATAGAAATCCCATCCTGGTTCCAACCCTCTGCCATGGGCAGGGACACCTTCCACTAGACCAGGTCACTCCAAGCCCCTGTGTCCAACCTGGCCTTGAACACTGCCAGGGATGGGGCAGCCACAGCTTCTCTGGGCACCCTGTGCCAGGGCCTCACCACCCTCACAGGGAAGAACTTTTGCCTAAGATCTCATCTCAGTCTCCCCTCTGTCAGGTTAAAGCCATTCCCCCTTGTCCTGTCCCTACAGGCCCTTGTCAAATGTCCTTGTTCATTGACTGTTGCAGCAGGCAGGCTGTCCTGGGCCACTTGCCTGGATGAGGCTGTGGCAGCCGCTGGGCAGGTCAGTGGCCGTGAGTGCCCTGCGGGTACCTGAGGCCGTTCACATCTCAACTCCGGACGCAAACAGCGCAGCAGGGCGGGGACCAGACAGCGGGGCTCGGAGGAAGTGTCCTCACCCAGAGCGGGGAGCACAAAGCATCTGCTAGGGAGAAGAGGGTGGCTGGCATCTCATCTTGTTTGGGGCTCAAGTGTGCCCCTGCAGTGCTGCAAGATCTCACCCTTCCTTCTCTGTCAGTCCTTGCTGGCTGAATGGTTCACAGGACATGCTGCTGCAAGTCTTCTTTATGAAATGAGCCTACCCTGTTTTATTCTGCAGCTTGTTCTGGGATGGGCCCCTGCAAGACAACAGGGTGCCAGGGGACTGTGGGTGAGTGAGGAGTGCACGTAAACCTGGTTTCTAATGTCTCCCAAGTAGCAGCAGAGAGGCTAGGTGCATGAAGGGCTCCAGCTTAGTGGGTTCTTCCCCATCCTGAATGTGCCAAACCAAAGATGGCCCAAAAATCCAGCCAAGAGGCTGAGAGCTCCCAAGTCCTGTGGTCCTGGGGCTCTCTAGAGATGTTGGATATGTGCATTCACCCAGCAGTAGTAGCAGGAGGAGACCCCTTCCCAGGAGCACACCTCAATTTCCTCACAGTGGAAGGGGAAGCAGTGGATAACAGAGGTACCATTCAAACAGGGCTTTGCTGGGAAAAACAAAATCTTCCCTGTGAGGGCACAGGTTGCCCAGAGAAGCTGTGGCTGCCCCATCCCTGACAGCGTTCAAGGCCAGGCTGGACAGGGCTTGGAGCAACCCGCTCCAGTGGAAGGTGTCCTTGCCTGTGGCAGGCGTTGGAACTGGATGAGCTTTAATGTCCCTTCCAACCCAAACCAGTCTTGGATTCTATGAAGTTACTGCAGGAATGCAAACTACAGAATATTTCTGTATGAAGAGCAAATGATGAACTGGCTGGAGGCAGAGCATGAGGCTCCCTTCATCCCCTTTTAATCTCCATCCCCCTGCAGCTTTCTCTGCTTGCTTTGATGCGTGCATGTCCTGAGCTAAAACAGTCTTGGCAGGAGCCAAGTCCTGCAGCCCAAGTGCCTGCTGTGGGAGGAAGGCAGCGTGTGACTTGAAGAGTGTTAAGGAAACTATAGGAACATTAGGAAATGTGTGATGAGTTTTGATAACTGGAGGAAGCAGGTCATGTCCTGCTTTGAATGAGCACTGCTCGGAGGTATGAAAGCAGCCTTTGCCACGGTCAAGAAGCAGTCGATCTCGTCTGTGCTCTCTGCTCTGGCTGGAGCTCTGGGCTGGCAGGATGAGGCTGGGGACCTTCAGGATCTTACTAGTGCTCGTCCACGTGTCAGCAGCCTGTGAGTTCGGGCCCTTCCCTTACAGTGTCACAGGGATCGTCTGCAGGATGACCAAGCCCGCTGCGTTGCTGCGTAAGTACCTGCTGTACAGGCTGCACTTCCCCACTCCCAACTGCAAGTTAGTGATGGAGCAGTCAAGGAAGTGTGTTTCTTGCTTACCTGGCTCTTGTGGAAACCGTTTATCCCACAAGATGTATTAATACCTGCCTGGGAGCACTGGTTAAAGCATGGGCACCTGAACTCAATAGGCACAACTTCTCAAAGGAGCTAGAAAATAATCCCCAAGCCCTCTCCACAGCCCAAACTTTTACCAATGTTAGTCACTGGGAGATGGTGTGATGGAAGACCTAGAGCAAATGTGTGTTTGATTTCTCACTTCACTTGGGGTGGGAGCACAGAAGGGGAGAAACAAGGGTTCTCTGCTACTGGGGTTTCTGTGCAAGGCTCTGGGGGTTCTGCAGGTGGAAGAAGAATAATCAGAGCTCGTGCAAAGAGTGGGAGCAGCTCTGTCCTATCCCCTCCAACAGTGGGATATATAGGGAAGGATGCTTGGCTGAACTCAGAGAGGGTATTTCTGCAAGGAAAAAGTCCAGTACAGGCTTGTGCCTGATGCCAAGCTGGAATTGGATGGATAACATTACAAAAATGGGTACAGAAACTTGAATCTCAGAAGTTTTCCTCTGGAGACCCAACAGCTGGCTGCAATACAAGCAAACAGCAACAGAGCAGAGCACCAGAGTGAAAAAGTCAACAGTCTGTGCAGTGTAAGTCTGCCCTAAGGTGCAAGTGAGGTGTGTGAAAGCTGGGCTTGATTCCCTGAGAACAGCCTGGCTGGTCACTGTCCAGCCCACATGCGGCTATCGCCAGCTGCCACCAGCTCTTAAAGTCAGGTTTGTTGTTGGTTTTGTGTTTATTATGCTCTGAAACTACTCCTCGTGCTTCCTTAATCTAATGGGAATGCCTTGATTGAAACTCTCCTGTAGAGCTTTAACCCAAGGTGCTGACTCGGCTTTGCAGCCAGGACAGGTTGCAGTTTGATATCTTTGCCCTTTTGTTCCAACAGTGAATCAGGAAACAGCACAGGTCATTCAAGCAGCATTCAGAAATGCCAAGTTCCCAAATATCACTGGGGAAAGGTCCATGCGGCTCCTCGGCAAGGTGGCTTATGGGCTGACCAAGTGAGTGTCTCTGTATCACCATGCCAGCGTAGGTGCGGGCTGATGGAGGGGACCAGAACTGGCCTCGGGGGGATCTTTGATCCAGCAATTCCTGGTGAAAGCAATGGTCTGAACTGGGACAGATCCACTTTCTGATCTGCACCTTGCAGACAATTTGGATGTTGAGGTTTAGGCTGCTGATTTGGGTTAACAAATGCACTGATGCAAGCACAGGATGGATTTCCTGCTGTGTCTCCTGTGAACAGAGAGCAGTGCAATGAAACATGCTGCGAGAGCTGGGCTTGCACAGCCTGGACAGCATCTGCTCCAGGGTGACCTTAGAGCAGCTTCCAGTGCCTAAAGGGTCTACAAGAAACCTGGAGAGGAGCTTTGAACAAGGACCTGTAGGGACAGGACAAGGGGGAATGGCTTTAACCTGACAGAGGGGAGACTGAGATGAGATCTTAGGCAGAAGTTCTTCCCTGTGAGGGTGCTGAGGCCCTGGCACAGGTTGCCCAGAGAAGCTGTGGCTGCCCCATCCCTGGCAGTGTTCAAGGCCAGGTTGGACGGGGCTTGGAGCAACCTGACCTAGTGGAAGGTGTCCCTGTCCGTGATAGGGGGCTGGAACTGGATGAGCTTTATGGTCCCTTTCAACACAAACCAGGACGGGATTCTGTGAAAACAGGGCTGTTTCTGCAGCGCAGTGCTGTTTCCTGTTTAAAGCATTCACCTTGCTTCACCCCCGACTATCGACAGGGAGCAGCAGCGCACCCAGGCTGAGCAAAATCACTGTCGTACCTGTGCGTGGCGCTACCCCTGTTATTTGCAAAAGCTTCCGAGGGTTGCCAGAGGCCCCTTAGGGACCCCTATTCCTCATTAGCAAACCTGGTCACAGAAAGCAGCCTTGGGGATGGTGACAAACCAGGTTTTTGTTGTTTCTAGCATACAGGTAAATGACTTATCCATCGAGCAGAGTGAGGTGGAGCTCAAGGAGAACGATGCCATTCACATTGCCATTAAAAATGTGACAGCCTTCTTCAAAGGGACCCTGAACTACGGCTATGCTGGGGCCTGGTTGTAAGTACCAGGGGGCTGGTTGCTGCCGAGCGCCACACCCCCTCTCATGCTGCTGCCCACAGGCATGCGTCACCGTTGAGGGGCTGCACTCCTCTGGCTCTCTTGGATGGCAATGCTGCTTACTGCCTACATGAGAAAAGGTTTTATACACTAGCAGTGTTGCTCAGCCCTATCACTGCTCTTCTCATTCTGCTTTCTACCTTTCTGTCCTTATCATCACCCCCTGCTTGAGGAGACAAATGACCAAAGCATAAAAGTTCTTCCCTCCCCTTTGCTGCTCTATGTACTTTGAGTGGTGGAAAAAAGAGGCTTAATTCTCCTGGGCAGTGGTTTGCAACGATTTGAAACCAGAGTATCTGAATGTGCTGCTGCATGTTGGGGTTTTACACTAATGTGACTGATGTGAAAAGTGTTACAAACCCCACCCTGCAGCTGTCAGGGGATCAGGGAGAAGATGCATCCCATTTAGCATTCAGGTTGCTAAATGTTCTCTCTTCTGCCATTACAGTTTGCAGCTTTTTCATTCAGTTGATTTTGAAATCGAGTCTTCCATTGACCTCCAGATAAACATTAAGCTGAGTAAGTAACAGCTGGGGATTGCAGGCTGCAAGGGTCTTGGTGTGTGTGCTTCCTCCAGAGTAACAGGAAGGTCTGGGCGTCTGGCTCCGCTCACCTCTGTGGGGAACGGGTCACAGCTGGAGCCTCAAGTGGGTCTCTTGTCATCCTGTGTACACAGGACAGGAGACGACATGGCCCTCAGCTCGTAATTTTAATGGATCAAGCAGAAGCAGCTGGTATAAAAAATTTCTGCAAAGCCTATTTCTTGAGAAAGTCAGTAGACCTAGACTAGAAAGGGACAGAGGCAAACCTCCACAAAGGATGAGAGGAATGTGGGTTATCTCATGGGCCTCAAAATACATTTTCCTGCCTCAAAATACATTTTCCTGGTAAGGTCCAGGGGGAGAGCAGCATGAAGGTCTTGATGACAGTATACTGCAATTTTCAGATGTTTTGCACTACAATGCAAATTCCCTCCCTGCTCTAGTCTGTGGGTTGTACATACTTGCCATGTTCTCTTGGGTTATGTTAGGAAACAACAAAAGAGCTGGTATCCAAATGAAGTGCGAAGAAGGGTGCTTGGTAAACTAGCTCAGCAGTTTACCCTCCATCCAGGTCCAAGGTACCTCATTAGGCCCAGCTTTGCAGGGTCCTGTATCTTTTGGAAACATGGCCTGGGAGGTGTGGGGGACATTGGCTGCCCCTCTGCAGTGATGCCCTGCTCCATGTCTGCAGGGTCTGCAAAGTGCACTTGTCCTCCTTGTCTTGGTAGCAAATCAGCTATTTTTTCTTTTCTTTCGTCCCATGCAGTGTGCCAGAAGGACCAAGTGGCTGCCGATGCCTCGGACTGCTACCTGACTTTCCACAAACTCATGCTTCACCTGCAAGGAGACAAGGAGTGAGTCTGTTCCCCTTCAAAATCAGGCTTCACTTGCCCGGCTGCTGGTCCCCATGTGCTTCAGCCCAAGCAACACTCACCCTGGGGTGAGTGATCCCTGACCATGCTCATGTTATGTGCAGACCCGGCTGGCTGAAGCAGCTCTTCACGGATTTCATCTCTTTCACTTTGAAGTTTGTTCTCAAGAGTGAGGTAAGATCAGACACTGGCTGTGGATGGAGGAAAGGTCAGTTTGCCACACACTCCTCTGCTCACGTATGCACACAACATAATGGGAATAGCATTTTAGTGTTTGCAAAAAATAAGACAAATAAATAGAATCCACAAAACCTGCTGCCACCCCAGCTTGGATGGGGTCAGAGGTTGTAATGATGCTGGAATCTTGGATGTTGCTGGACTGAAAAACAGCCCTCAGGTCTCACCATGAGGCCCAGCTCTGCTCCACAACCTGAAGTCCTAACCCCCTTCTTTTCCTCTTGTAGGTGTGCAATGAAATCAATTTTCTTGCCCAGGTGCTGGCAAATTTTGTACATGATTTAGCAGGTAAACGTCCTTGGGTTTTCTGCTTTCTTTTTCATGAGCCCCCGCAGGGCAATAGCTACATCCATCAAAAAAATCCTTTGAAACTGTATGTGGGATCCCAAGCCCTCAGACAAAGGCAAAATAAACCTTAGCAAAGTTTTGAATTTTTCTGTATCAGGTTGATTTATAAGGGTGATTGCCCTGGTTGAAAGACATGAAATACCTCAGTTCATGAATGAGGTATTTCTCCTTCATCATGTAATGACCAGAGGTGTGGAACAACTGCAGAAGGACTGATGTTAGCTAGCACAGGAACATGCATTGGAGTATTGAGGCTGAGATATTACAGCATCTGTATACGCCTGCTGATGATTTTCCCATGGTTCCCAGTCCCAAATATCAGGGAAAAGGACATGGAATGTGGAAAAAAAAAAAAAAGGAATGTAAAACTGAGAGTAGTTTCCACCATTTCCAAGCGAGTCATTGGGCAGTAGCAGGACCCAGCGCTAACACCCAAATGAATGGGGTCCCTCAGTCCCATCATAGAATCCTAGAATGGAAAAGTTCCAACCCCCTGCCATGGACAGGGACATCTTCCACTAGAGCAGGTTGCTCCAAGCCCTGTCCGACCTGGCCTTACACACTGGCAGGGATGGAGCATTCATAACTTCCTGGGGCATCTTGTTCCAATGTCTCACCACTCCCATAGTAAAAAAATTCTTCAGTATACATAAATCTCCCCTGTTTAAGTTTAAACCCATTGCCCCTTGTCCTGTCACTACAGTCCCTGATGAAGAGACATCTCCATGTCCTTTTGTAACTCCCAATCACCTTCTGCAGCAAGTCCTAGAAGATGACTGCCACATGCTGTGCCCACAGTCACATTGTGGTGTGAGGTTTTGTTGTTTTCTTCCTGCAGAAAATTTTGTCCGGGATGAAGGTATCAGCGTCGATATCTCCCTTGCATCAGTTCCTTTAATAAAAGCAAATTACCTAGAATCCCACCACAAGGTAAAGTAACCCATGCTGCTCAGAGACCAAAGGTTTTCTGGGGATGATGTTTGCAGGAGGGCTGCGAGTGGCTGGTCCCTTGCTGTCATGCAGAGCATGGGCTGTATCTGCATTTGCAGCGTGGCCTGATGCCAGTCTTTTACCCGGGCACACAGCTTGTGCTCTGCTCCAGGTCCAGCCTTCACCTTGCAATGGAAATGCAGGTATTGACACCTTGCCCTGTCTGCCAGCTGCTTGAGGTGACTAACATGCTTGCTCCCCTTTAAAGGGCCTTGTCCTGTACAAGAACTACTCTGATGTCTTCACTGACTCTGTTTTCTCCCCGTCGTTGCTGACTGAGTCCCGGATGCTTTATTTCTGGCTGTCTGAACACATCCTCAACTCTCTGGCTTCGGCAGCTTTCTTAGACAAGCGCTTGGAATTGACCATCAGAGGAGAGGAGTTGCAGGTGATTTCAGGGGTGGTTCCCTCCTTACATCGCATTGTGGTGAGACAGTAAAAAATTCCCTAAATACTGGTTTTTTTTTGGTGAGGGTTAGTTTCTGTAGAAGACAGAAATCTATAGTCAGTCACTACATGTGATCCTGGTCAGAAATTTGTGCCTTCTTAGCAAGAATATGCTACCACACGGTGTTATACCTTAGAGCAGTAACACCATCTGGTAGAAAACATGCCTTCTGAACTGCAAAGTGATGTGGTTCTCTGTGGGAGTATTGAGGTAGCCAAGGAGTGAGCTCAGGGGGAACTTAGCCATGCCTCTGACCTGGCCACAAGTCATTCTGGCCATCCAGCCTGCATTAGGGCTGACCATAACCTCTCTTGTGCCTTTCTGCAACCTGTTTCTGGTTTGTTTCTGAAGGCGCTGTTTGAAATGGAAGATACGGAAGCACGGCAGAATGTGGTGCAGATGGTAATTTTGGTCTTATTCAAAGTGGTTTATGTCAAATGAAGAACTTTTCAAATAGATTCTGTTGCACTGTAACAACAGTGTCCTTCCCTTGACAACTTGAATCTTGGGTGGGCCTCATGGGGAAAACCAGGGACTGATGGAGAAACTGTGCCTTGCAAGGATTTCCTCACCCTCCAAGCTGGCACAGCTTCCCTCCAACCCAGCTGAATTACTGTGAGCTGGAGGAAAAACTGGGGACTACAGAAGGGATGCACTTCTGTGGCAAATTGGCATGAAACCGGGAAAAAGCCTGACTCTTCTGTTGCTCCTCACTTGACCAGATTTTTCAAGGCACCTCCTATAATGACTCTGTGGCCAGGGTATGGAGTCTTGCCCATCCCCAAATCTCTGTTCAGCCTGAAGGAACAGTCGTGAAGTCCTTGGTAGCAGTGGAGGTCAGCACCCTTCTCATGGGAGAAGAGTCCCTGATGGTTCTGTACATGGAGAAGGTCAGTTCTTGCTTCTCCTGACTGTGAAGACCTTGGGAGGGGTGGGTGGCTAAACTCTGGGAGGTGGAGAAAGCATATCGGTTCCTTTTAACGCTCCCATCTCTTCCCTCAACAACTAAAGGTGGGAACGCTGACAGCAATCGTGCTGGCTCAGTGCCTTCCCCTATTAGGCTAGCCCATCACTGGTGTGCAAGGTGGTAAAAGCAGCAGAAAGCTCTGATGAGCCCCCCTTAACCTGTACCAGACACAGTGAAACCCTTTAGCTGAGGTATTTTAGGAGAGAATGAAGGCACCATGGGAATGTATTTATTTTGAAACTTCAGACTTCCTCATTCCCAAATTCTAGCTCTGGCCCTTGCTGAGAGGATGGTTCTCTCTGACATGAAGGTACCACTCTGGAGAATGCGAATCTCAAAATATAACCTTTTCCACTATATATGCCTGTATGAAAGTTCCTGCTTACACTGTGTTTTACACCAAACTCCTTTATACTGAATCTAAGGAGGCAGAAAAAAGAAATGCGAACAGCCTTGCTGTCATGGGTAACATCACAAGAAAGCAGTATGTCTGTCCAGCCTTGTAATTATGGGCTGGTATGGACACTAAACACTGCATAAAACCAAATCCCTGCCTGAGGGTAGACTGGCCTCTTCAATTTAAAGGCTTAAACTGTAATTGAGTACAGTTCTCTCCTGCCTTCTGCAAGCATCCCACACTAGCAGAATATTCCAGGGAAACGTTCATGGCTGGTCTTTCTGCTTCAGGTGATCTCTTGAAACTAATTTCTGGTAGGAAACTACTGAACTAGAGGTGGTGCCCAAAACTGTGCCTCTCAGGATGTGATCTGCTCCTGGCCTGCCAGCCTCCTGGATCACAAAATGCTCCTTTTAAATGAATGTTTGCATACAGGCAGAAGCAAGAAAACGATCCTAAATGGCCAGAATTCAGAGATTGCCTTCTTTTTCAGTGTGGTTATAAATGCAAACACTATAGGAAGGCTACTTGTAGTATCCGTGGCTGTTCTCTGCACATTCTATCTGATGATCTTTGTGTTGAACTGGATGGTCATTGGGAAACATCACCCTATATAACCATTTCCTTCCGGCATAAGCAGAGGATTTGGTTCACAAAATGGCAAAAGCATCAGTCCTGTGAATAAGCCAATATAGAACACCGCAGGCTGAGGCTGTGGGCATCAGGGAGGAGTTCACTGCCAATAGAGAAGGAAAATGAGGACCTGCTCTAGTAATATCTGGAGGTAAAGCCAGAAGGGTGTTGAACTCTGGGTCACAAAAAGTAAACCAAAATGACCAAATGCAACTTGCTGCTGTAAGGCAAGATAAGCTACGTCTCAACCCTGCTGTTCATCTTTGTGCAGGAAATCACGGTCACCATCCAAGCTGCCTATGCAGAAAAGAAACTAATTTTGCACCCTTTGGACTCCAGGTTGGTACTGTGGTCTCTGGCGGGGGCGGGGGGCGTGGTGGGCAGTTCTCTGCCTCTTTTAGCCTGTATCTGAGAGCAGCATAACAGGATCTCTGCAGCCCGCAATGATTTTCCCCCCTCCTTTTTGTCCTTCCCTTCAGGATAGAGTTTAAAGTCTTTAACTGCACAGCTGATCCAAGTGAGGTAAGTCCAAAGAAAGTATTCTCCAGGCCACCTGTGGCAAAATGATGTATTTAAAACCTGTTGTTTATGAATTTTCTGGCTTTTAGAATGACCCATCCATAAGAAACTTCCTGCAGACAATGATCTCGGTTGTTGGGATCCCAGAAGTGATTTCAAGTGAGTTTTCCCTTTGGGGAAGTGCTGGCCTACTCCATTAAAGTGTCTCCTAAACCTAAGCATGAAAAAATACATCAATAACCCTGACAGCTTTGGGGGACCACATTACTAAAGTAAATTTCTGCTGGATTCACTTGGGGAATTGGGAACCTTTTGTAAATGGCTGGGACAAAGGAAAAGTAAGTCTTCTGTCAGGCTGAAGGTTGTGGGGCATTGAGGCACAATTAGTTTTTGGCAAGAGGCAGAAAAGGTAGCAAACCAGGATGGCTGTAGCTGTAACTGCATTGGTTTACTGATTCCATAGGGATCGAACCAGCTTTGACTTCACTGATGAACAGCAAAGGGCTTCATCTATTTGAGATCAGAAATCCTGAGATCATCACAAGAAAGGTAAGCAGAGTTTAGGAATACCTGGATCTCAAAGCCCTTCTTGGGAGTGTGACATAAACTAATATAATACTTTTCTCTTTTATCCTCCCTTTTTAGGGATACATAATTGTACAACTTGACTTTAGCTTCCCAAATCATTTGCTTCTTGATTTTCTTCAGAATACATTCTAAAGCTGATCTCTTCTTAAAGGAGCCCAGGAACTTGTGTACAAACAGGAAGATCATGTGTGAACCAGTTAAAAGATGAGCTGATTTAAATGAGTTTCAGTTTAATTTTCTTTCCTTTTCATAATAAATGCTCCAGTTTTTGTGCAATTGTACTTCCGTGGAACCTTTCCTCTACAACAATCTTGAATTCTGCACTTCTATGCACATTACTTTTCCGGAATCTTTAAGGACTTGAGTGCTTAGGAGTAAGGCTTGGACTGTTGAAGTGCATGGCCTCTGGATTAGCACTCAGGGGAGGCAGCAGAAATGGGCTTTGCTTACCTTCTGGCATCTTTGTTATTACATTTTGGAAATGTAGCATCTTTTGTGTTGATCCTGGGTTTCATTTCTACTATGAGCCAAGAGGCTCCTGATTTTGACAACTCCAGTGACATTACCAAACTCCAAGTAAACTCAGAACCAGTTATACTAAAAGACCTGGGTGTAGCTGAAAAAATATAAATGGATGTGAACTGACAGTGCAGTGCAGTACATTAACGGAGATCTCGCACCCTGGGTGCTTTTTTTACACAGCCTGTACTCTTTGTAGAGCTCCAGGTAAACTGTGATGCCCATGTTGTTGAGACGATGGGAACAAACTTGAGAAAAGCAAATAAAATTATAAGGAAGCCAAAAAGATCAGAAGAGCAGGAGTCCAGTTAGGCAGGAGGTTCCTCTTTCTTCCAACAATTTATTTGAAGTGCCTGTTATTTTCATTTACCAATTCATGCTTCCTTGTTTTATATTTGTCTCTTCACTTAGAAGAGATCTTAGACAGCACACCTAAGGCTGTAGCAGTGATCATGTTAACAAAGGCAGAGGATGATGTTCTCCTTCCACACTGTTGTGGTTTAAACCCAGCCAGACAACTCATTCACTCACCCCCCCCCCCCCTTCTTTGCCCTCCCCCTACTCCCAGAGGGACGGAGAGGAGAATTGAAAAGAATGCAACTCCCACGGGTTGAGATAAGAACAGTTTAGTAACTAAGGTATAACACAAATCACTACTGCTACCACCAATGATAATAATGATAAAGGAAATAACAAGGGAAGAGAATACAACACCTCACCACCAGCCAACCGATAACTCGCCCCACCCCACCAGACCAAGCACCCACGGATACCTCCTCCAACCCTGCAGTCTCTCAGCCCTTCCGGGTAACTCCCAGTTACATCCTGGGCATGACGTGCTGTGGTATGGAATACCTCTTTGGTCAGTTTGGGTCAGGTGTCCTGTCTCTGCTTCCTCCCGGCTTCCCCTCCTCCCTGGCAGAGCATGAGGCTCACAAAGTCCTTGGCCAAACCAAAACATCATTGTTATCAGCTCTGTTCCCAGGCCGAAAGCCAAAACACTGCACTGCACCAGCTACCAAGAAGGAGAAACATGACTGCTACTGCTGAACCCAGGACACACACAAACCTGTATTAAAACTGGGGCTTCTGGAAAGAGTCCTATGAAGCTGGCAACAGGACAGCCTTGGTTTCTTGAGCTCCCGGGGCATGGTGGTTGCTCTCCCCACACTGCCATGGGTGTCCTCCCTGGGGAATGAGCCTCTGACCTCCCCAGCACTTCCTGCTTCCTACAACAGCTGTGTTTAACATCTGTTCAGTGGACTTGGTGCCAAGGCTGGTGGAGGAGTAGACTGTGGCACACGGGGTGGGCTGAAGTTACAGGTTGCTCCATGGCAGCCAAGGAAGCTTTATCTTGCTGAGTCTCAACCAGCCGTGTCCATGACACTGCAGCTTTCACAGTGACACCATAGCAGAGCCAGTGGTAGCCTTGAAGAAGCCCGGGTATAGTGGGCACCTTCTCACCTCTCTTCCCACCCTGTCCCCATGCTGTCTCTGCCGGCTTTTTCAGTACCAGCTAAAGGTTTGTCTGTGCTCCCTCTTGCTCTAAAGCCACCGATACTGAGGTGACATGTCCCCTCTCTGCATGGCAATGCCTGCTTAATTCTATGGGAACTGGTTTCTGTCAAGCCTGTCAAGTCCTCCTGACATTCCAGTGGAGTGACGAGCATTAATAAAAAAGAAATGGCAGGGAAAAAAACACCACCTTTTTTTGCCCTTAGAGGTGCCTTGCCGTGCCAGCCAAAGACGCCTGCTGGGGCGCACTCGGTGACCCACTGGGGCTGCACCAGCCGGCTGCCCTCGCACAGAGGGCAGGGGCTCTGCTGAGGGGGGAAGGAGGGAAGCGTCCAGCAGACCCCAGACGCTACCACCGCGAAACGGCGGCGCAGCGCCGGGCCGGGCAGACACTGAGCCCAGCCGCGCCTCGCCTTCGCCTCCACTACCTTCACGTCCGCCCCTCGCCGCACCCCCCCCGACATGACGGCACAGCCCCATGCCAGGAGCAGAGCCGAGGAAAGCGGCGGTCGCCGAGCCTGGCACGGAGCCGGTGCCGTCAGGCGGCTTCTGTTTTGCAGCGGACCGCGCTGCCGCTGTGACCGATGGACAGCGCGCCGCTGAGTGCCGCGGCTGGAGCAGGAGCGCCCCGTGAGCGCTCAGAGTGCGGGGCGGGCTGGTGTGGCCGCGGTTTTTGCTTTTCCGCGTCCAGGGCTAAGGTTGGATGCGTTCATGGAGATGCCTTTTGCTCCCCGGTGCTGGGATCAAACCAGTGATTCAAAGAAATCAATTCACTGTAAAGCACAGACCTTTGTTGGTGCCGGGAGCATGTGAGGTTCAAACCTCCGTACATGTCTCCAAAGCACAGTACATTTCAGAGAGACTTTACGTTGTCATCCTGATACAATTTTATCTGAAGCATGCACACAGACAATTCAGTAAGTTATATAACTGTAGTTCTCTCATCCTCCTGCACACTTGGGTTAGGGCTACAACAGTCTATTGGTTACCTTTTAGCTTTAGTAGTATTGATCAATTGCTAATACCTGCGAGCTACGTGTTTATTTCTTTGTTCAAATCGTTAACATTAGGGATGTTAACATTAGGCTTTCCCTGCTTAGAAGCAATTTACAGAAGCAGATTCAAGCCGTTTACAGGTCAAATTCTGATGCATTGTTTATCATGCCCACTCAGGGGCAGGTTCCAGCCCTCAGAGGGGTCCCGTGTTGAGTGAGCAGTCACATTTAGGTGCTAAGTCATACTCATACAAAAGAGTAAAGTTATTTCAGCTAAGGCCTAATGAGTTGGTCTCAACAGTATCACAGCTTTTCCTAACTGAAGTGATGTATGGGAGCCTGTCAAGGATGATGTTAGGGATTTTTAGGCACAAAATTGCTAGTTTGGCCATAAAGGGGTAGCATTGGTAGTGCAGTGACAGCTTCTGGTCTGGTGAAAACACCATCCACCCACCGTCCCCTCCTTCCACCCCTGGCCCCCTTCATCCACCCCTCTGGTCCCTTTCATCCATGTCTGGTCCCCTTCCATTCACCCCTGTTCTCCTCCATCCACTCATTGGTCTGCTCCACTCCTTGGTCCCCTCCAACCACCCCAGTTCTGTCCACCCATCGCCCAGTTCTCTCAGAGCTCCCCCATCCTCTGCACCCTACTTAAGGCCCGATAAGCCGAGCAGGTGTTTCTGTCTGGAGTTGTGGGCATTGCTGGACATTGCTTTTTTTTTTGTGGTTGGGAATGGTGGGAATGCTGAGTTGGGGAGGCGAGGAGTGGTTTTCTAGTGTGTTTTAAGGGTGTTTCTACATCTGAAGGATGAGGCCAAGAGTCAAGGCTCAAAAGTTTCCTGGCTCTTCTTGGGAGGTGTTTATGCTTCATTTTGAGCTCAGAGGTGTTTTATTGTAGGTCACTGCCCATCATTTCTGATGGTCTTATTTAGCAGAGCAGTAGTAGCACAAGAGCTGTGAGCAATGCCTGAGCTTTTATCTAACTTCTCAGTGTAGACTTCTTGAATAAGGGTCTTTCATCAGTTCACATGAAATTAATTCATAGTCTTTGTCTGAATGGCTTCCAGTGTTCATTGGCATGATTCAATATTTGTATTCAATATTAAGTAGTAGTGCTTCATCACCAGGGAAATAAAGTCGGGTGTTGCTGTCTACAGGTTTCTGGGTTTTTTTCTTGGCTGGGGAAATGTAAAATGAAAGTCCTTAAAGTTTGACTCATCAGGCTACTGGGAAATGAGGTGGTTTTTTTTTGTTTTTTTTTCTTTTTTTTTTTGCCAGAAGCCATGCTATTTTGCAGTTTGTTAAAATTTGACATGTTTAAATGTTTTCTTTTTAAGTCTTCCATTGCTTCCTTTGTTTTTAATGTATGTGTTACTGTTAGCCTTCTTTATTTGTATAACTGGTAATATAAAATGCATTTCATAATAAAAATTTTGAATGAAAACTTGCAGGGTCCTTTGGAGGACATTCAGAATTGAATTTTTGGATTTATGGGAATAGCCTGAGGAGAAGACTGATCCTGGTTAAGCCCAACTTTTTTAGCATTTCACCAGGAACTTTGATGTTGTTTTTGTTAGAATAGCGAGTGATGGGCATTAGAGGCTTTTTACAAACTGTGGGGGTTTGCCCACATTTTGGTGGATCCCAGAGATGCCTCCCTTTTTACACAACACATCCTGAAAGCTTCATCTGGAATGGGAACCTGGAACAAGCCTTTCTTGCAGTGATACCCTGTTATAGCAGTATGTGGCAATGCTGTGTGGTAACCAGCTTTGACATGGTTCTGACCTGAAGGATCAGAGATTAGTAAAAGAGCATCCAGTGTCACCAGCTTTGCTTTTGTGGGATGTCTGCTTGTCTTTTGGAGTGCAGGAACAGAAAAGACTGATGAGGTCCTTTCCACCCCGTCCTCTGCTGCAGCACTCAGTCAGCTCACATCCTTTTACTGCATTTATCTGGCTTAGTCTCATAAACATACAAGGCTGTTCAAAGAGGCAGTAGAGAGAGGGCAGAGAGTGGTGGGTTATGGTGAAGGAGTATCCTCTTAAACATAAGCAGGACAAACATCTTGAGCAATTTCAGCAAAACCTGGAGTGGGACTTTTTGCAAGGGTTTGTAGTAACCAGATGTCCGTATTTCAGTTGTAAAAGTTATCTTTCTCCTTCCTAGTAGCTGGTGCACTGCTGTGTTTTTTAGTCTGAGAACAGTGTTGGTAACACACCCATGTTTTGGTTGTTGCTCAGCAGCACTTGCCCTGACCAAGGACTTAGCCTCATGCTCTGCCAGTGAAGAGGGGCACAAAAAGCCAGGAGGAAGCAGAGACAGGACACCTGACCCAAACTAGCCAAAGGGGTATTCCATACCACAGCACATCATGACCAGTATATAAACTGGGGGAGTTACCTGGAAGGGCTAGATCACTGCTTGGGTCAGGCTGGGTGTTGCTCAGTGGGTGGTGAGCAATTGTACTGGGCATCACTTGGGTTTCTCGGGTTTTTCCCTTTCCCCTTTTAGTTTTATATTCTCTCCCCTTGTTATTTCCCTTATAATTATTATTATTATTAGTAATATTATTATTATATTATACTTTAGTTATTGGACTGTTCTTATCTCAACCCTTGGGGTATGCATTCTTTCGTTTCTCCTCCCCATCTCGCTCAGAAAGGGGAGGAGAAAAGGGGGGGGGGCGGGCATGAGCGAGCAGCTGCGTGGTTCTGAGTTATCAGCTGGGCTTAAACCAGGACACAAGACAAGGGGGGATGGCTTTAGACTGACATAGGGGAGATTGAGATGAGCTCTTAGGTAGAATTTTTTCCCTGTGAGGGTGCTGAGGCCCTGGCACAGGTTGCCCAGCGAAGCTGTGGTTGCCCCATCCCTGGCAGTGTTCAGGCCAGGTTGGATGGACGGTGACACCAGGAAAGCTGTGATTCCTTTAAACTGCTCCTGTAAAGCATGTCTTCACTTGCGTCTTAGGGCACAAGGCTCAGTCCTGCATTTTTATCACACCAGTAGTGGATGCTCAAATGTCCAGACTGTGGTCACTGCTGGTTTGAGTGAAAGTTGCTACCTAGAGATGAAAAGCTCCAGAGCTGACCCTGGGATCAAAGGCAAAGCTCTAGATCTGTGGTTTGTGTAATTGTCTATGTCCTTTTCTATCTGCATCCTGCTGTGTTACTATCCTTAGGCATCTACATGGAGTGAGACAACCTCATGTGGGCATGCACCATGGGTTGGGGTGTGCTGAAGTGCTGCTGCTAGCAGTTCAGTTCTTCATCAGGGAATGGAGCAGAAGCTATCTTTGCACTTGGCAACTGACAGGAGGCTGACCACACAACAATGCAGGTAGGACACTAATTGCACAGGTTTGCTGTGGGAAGGAAGTGAAAGTGAAGAGAGGCTTTGACACCAAAGCAGAAACGAGTTGTTCATCCCCACAAAAGGAGCAGCAAGAACAGTTGTCTGAGCCCTTTGATGAGGGAAATATCTTGCTCTTAAAGTCTCTCCGCATGCCTCCTGCTGCATGTGAAGCTTGTCATATGTGGCATGTGGCCACTGTAGTGATACAGATGTCAACAGAGCTTCTCTTTGGCTGATTCCAGAGAGACTGACTCCTGTTGCTTGCTCCTGCCCTTCACAGTACTGCTGTGTTAGGCAGTGGGCAGGTAAGGACTGTGGTCCTTGCACTGTATCATGGCTGGGCTGGGACTGTCCACATTACACTGTGAGAGTACGGCAACTAGGATATTCTGAGTTAGACCAGGGCTAGAAAAGCAGATCAAGTCATCAAGGGCTGTGCTGGCTGCTTCACCGCAGGGCTGCGTGTGTGAACATCTCTCACTTCTATGCCCATTGCTACCCTCTAACCACCATTTCAGAGTGATGATCTAGACCTGGATGTAGTCAGTGCCCACTCCCAGCTAGTGGAGTTCCTCAGCCACCATCCTGTATGGCTGCTGATGACCTCCCAGCACTTCCTCCCAGGACTGGCCCTGAATGGCCTGGATGGGATCACCAACCACAAAGAAAAAGTCTCAGTGCTCCTTGGCCTGCTGGAGGAGACTGGTCCTGCCACCTGGGAACAGTTTGTACAGGGCCTCTGCATGGAATGTGACTTCCCCCTGCACCTGGAGACACAGCTCATGAGTTTGGCAGGGGAAGGTAATGGCCAGCTTTCTCTAACTATCTCCAAAAACAGCCAATGCCTTGGCCCCCAGAGCTAACAGACCAGGCTAGGCAGAGAGAACATCCGTGCCTCATTCACATGGTCAGTGCCTCATCAGTGAGAACTGGCAGCCCTCTCTGTGGTGTCCAACAGTTACAAGCCTTTTTAACCAAGCCACTTGGTTTAGTCTTGCCTTTCACCATAATGTGTAGAGTAAGATCAGGACCTCCAAAAATAGTTATTGGAGCAAATAGCAATAGTTCATGTTTTCAGATGTGCTTTTTCACCACTGCTAGGCCTGGCTGCTGTTGGTGGGCACTTTCTTCACCCTTTCAGTAGGAATTGGCCTGACTTGAAGATGGAAGATTCTGTGGACCTTGTGGGACCCTGCATGGTCATATCATCAGGATTCCCAAGTTGGAAGTGTCTACCAGGTCAAAGTCACTTTGCCCGGAGAGAATATAGTGTTCTTGAGAGATTAATTTAGTCTATTTGGGAAAAAGGGGTGCTGTGCTGTAGGGATTCCCTACTGCTTGTTGTGAGAGTGGAGTGCATCGTGATAGCTGTGAGAAGGGAAAACATGGATGCAGTAATAGCTCAGGAATTTCTCAATGATGAGATGAAATGTTTTGATACCTTCATTTGAAGACAAAAAACAAAATACTACATTTTTTTCTCTCTAGATGTTAAATTGCATTTTTTTTTTTTTAATTTTCCTGACCCACAAATGCAGGAATTACAGAAGTTTTAAAATATACCAGAAGAAAACCACTTCCCCATATCGGTCATTAGCAGTTGGAGGCAGTGGCTGTAATGAAAATGTTGTTATCCATAAGAAGTGTGGTGAGTCCACTAGGACATGGAGCCGTTGGAGCAAGTCCAGAGGAGGGCCATGAGGATGATCAGGGGACTGGAGCACCTCCCGTATGAAGACAGGCTGAGGAAGTTGGGGCTGTTCAGCCTGGAGAAGAGAAGGCTGTGCGGAGACCTCATAGCAGCCTTCCAGTATCTGAAGGGGGCCTATAGGGATGCTGGGGAGGGACTCTTTCTTCATAGAGGACTGTGGCGACAGGACGAGGTGTGATGGATTTAAACTTAAACAGGGGAAGTTCATACAGGAGGTGCTCCAGTCCCCTGATCATCCTCGTGGCCTCCTCTGGACTTGTTCCAACAGTTCCATGTCCTTATGTTGAGGACACCAGAACTGCACACAGTATCCAAATGGAGTTTCACGAGAGTACAGTAGAGGGGGAGAGCCATCTCCTTTGACCTGCTGGTCACACTGCTGGTGATGCAGTCCAGGACACAGGCTATTTGAGTGTTGAACGGATTTTGTGTGAGGCTGTGGTGCAGCATGTATGCCCATTTGGAGCCTTGTTCTTTGTTGTTTCATGCTAATACTAGAGCTCGGAATAGCAGGGTACCTGCCTGCACTCCCAGCAGGGAAATGCTGGAAATGGCAGTGAGAGGATTTAACATATGAAGGCTTCCCTTCGCCCTTTGCCCTTTGTGGTGGCATCCATCATCTGAATGTCAGTGAGAAGCCTTTGGTGCAGTGAAGGTATGTGCCACCGCTGTGGGGTGTTTGAGGGCCCTCATGTAACAGCTGCTGGAATAGTTGGAAGCTGCTAAATTCTGAGTTACCTCCTCAGCCGCCAGCCACTCAGTTTCCAGAAAATGAAACACCAGCTCAGGTCCTCACAGCAGAAAGAGAGAGAAGGGCTCTGATACTTGTATCCAGCGTGGGGAGAGGATAGGTGGTGGAGGTAGTGGCCAAAGGAACCCAAAGTGATACAGGAACCTGCCAGGAGATTGCTGTATCCTCCTGAAATGTATGCTGGGGTAAAATGAAGCAGCAAGAAATGAAGCTCAGCAGGTTAGAGAAGACACAGCCAGGGCCCTGGCAGTGCAGAGAGCGAAGTGCATGCCTCATGACCTGGATAGGTGCTTAGTGTTGCTGTCAGGAAGTGGGCTAGTCCTGCTTTCACTGTTGGTGAAAAAAGATGATTTGAAGGAAAAGCTGCTCTTAATTTTTTTCCTTCTGTGTGAATTTGGGGACTGGCTAAAGCTCACACAGCAACAGGAGCTCCTTGCTTCTTGCTGAGGCTTGCCAGTTCCTTCAGTACCTTATAAGTTGTGTGTTTGCATCTGCTGTTTGCATTCTCTGTTCCTGTCTAGACAGAGGCAGGATTCAAGCATTGCACTCCCTGAGCAGTGAGCACTTCCTGCCTTGCCCAGTTCTATTGATGTTACCCATTTTAAGTCATAGATCCCAACTTGCCCTTTGCAGTTCTATCTGTTCCTATGGACAGAGAGACCCTTTAACTGTGCTTTTCACTCCAAGACTGCTTCTCAGTTACAGCACTGCAAATATTGTATCTGGTGTGCCATATGCAGTTTTCAGATGTTGAGAACAAAAGTGCCCTTTCTGTTCTGCAGGCAGACTGCTGCTGGTAGCTGCTGTGCTGCCATACTTTGAAGGTGGTTCATCTCATCAGTTGCTGGTGGAATAGGCATTTGAAAATAGTGCTGAAATTTAATTTACTTGGGCCAGCTAGGAAAGGAAAGACTCGTGCCTCCCTCAGCCCTGCCCATTCTCTCTGTCCCAGCGTGCACCATAAGAAACAGGGAGTTAATTGCCATGAACAGCCCTGGAGAACAGTGAGCTGTGTGTTCCCCAGACATGTCTATTCCCTGCCCTGTTCCCCAGGGTAGTGGAGCAGTTCCTGTGTTAAGAGAATCACAGAATGGTTTGGGTTGGAAAGGACCTTAGGATCATCCAGTTCCAAGCCCTCTCCACAGGCAGGGACACTTTCCACTAGACCAGATTTCTCCAACCCCTGTCCAACCTGGCCTTGAACACTGCCAAGGATGGGGCAGCCACAGCTTCTCTGGGCAACCTGTGCCAGCACCTCAGCACCCTCATAGGGAAGAACTTCTTCCTGATACCCAACCTAATCAACCCTGTTTATGCTTTAACCCATTGCCCCTTGTCCTATCACTACGGTCCCTGATGAAGAGTCCCTTTCTGGCATCCCAGTAGGCCCCCATTCGACACTGGGAGGTGCTGTAAGGTCTCCTGGCCTTCTCTTCTCCAGGCTGAACCAGCCCAGCTCTCAGCCTGTCTCCAGAGCAGAGCTGCTCCAGCCCCCACAGCATCTCTGTGGCCTCCTCTGAATTCACTCCAACAGCTCCACGTTCCTCTTGTGTTGTTGCCCCAGAGCTGGATGCAGGACTGCAGGGGGGTTCTCCCCAGAGTGCAGCAGAGGGGCAGAATCCCCTCCCTTGACCTGCTGCTCATGCTCTGGAGACACTGCTCAGCACACGGTGGGGGTTCTGGGCTCAGGCGCACACTGAAGCTGGGTCATGGGGAGCTTCTCATCAACCGACACCTGCAAGTCCCTCTCCTCAGGTCTCCTTCATCCAGTCTCTGCCCAGCTTGGGGATTTGTGCTGGGGCAGGGGCAGGACCTTGCACTTGGCTTTGTTGGACTCCATGAGGTTCTCATGATCCCACCTCTCCAGCCTATCCAGGTCCCTCTGGATCCCATCACTTCCCTCCACTGTGTCAGCCACACCACACAGCTTCATGTCATTGGCAAACTTGCTGAGGGTGCTTGATCCCACTGTCCATGTCACTGACAAATATGTTGAACAGGATCAGTCCCAATAGTGACACCTGTGGGACACCACACATCACGGGTGTCCATTTGGACATTGAGCCATTGACCACAACTCTCTATGCAGCTGTCCAGCCAGTTCCTTACCAGCCAATTGGATGGTGGTCCATCCATCAAATCCATGTCTCTCCAGGTTAGAGACAAGGGTGTCATGTGTGACAGTGTCGAACTTTGCTCAAGTCTGGGTAGATGACATCAAATGCTCTGCCCCTGTATCTGAAGGCCACCATATTGATCAGGCAGGATTTCCCCTTAGTGAAGGCATGTTGACTGTCACCAACCACCTCATTGTTTTACACATGCCCAAGGCTGACAGCAAGGCAGAGGTATTGCCTAGCCTACAAGGAGTCTCACTGGTGAGATGGTTATGGTCATTCTCAGAAATTGCAGGGCAGCTTTTCACAGCAGTTTATGTACCTCCTTCCCCAGTGCGTGGCCAGCTGAGCCTGTGGAGGCTAACCTGGCAGCTGGCTTCCCTCACAAGGAAACTTCCTGTGGAAATATCTAGTCATTGATATTTTGTGTTCCTGCTTTCTTTCAGGTCCATCACTCCAGCTTACCCTGCTTTGGGTGGATTTGAATCCTGAGGAAGAGTGGAGAACAACTGAAAGAAACTGGGCTGTGGGCTTTTCTGCAGTGTTTGGGTGGGATATGTGGTACTGCTATTCAGTTTCTTTCTGTCTCAGATCTACTCAGAACCACATCCTCCATGATCTGGGTAGCTTTGCAGTGCTTGTGATTGTTGTGGTTTAATCCCAGCTGGAAACCAAGCACCACACACCTCTGTTTGCTCACACCTCCCCTTTCCTTGGTAGGATAGGGAGGAGACCTGAAAAAAGGTTAAACTGATGGGTTGAGGTAAGAACAGTTTAATAATTGAAACAAAGTAAAACAGTAATGAAAAGGAGAAAGAGAGAGTAATAAACCCCACAAAAAATCCCAAGTGATGCACAATACAATTGTTTACCATCCACTGACCAAAGCCTAGGGTCCACAAGCAGCCATTGCTGGCTCCCATTCAACTCTTCCCAGTTGTTATACTGAGCATGATATCCTGGGGTGTAGAATATCCTTAAGCTAGTTCAGGTCTGGTGTCCTGTCTCTTCTTCCTCCCTGCTTCTTGTGCCCCCTCCTCGCTGACAGAGCATGAGAGACTGATCAAGGCAGGCACTAATGAGCAGCAACTAAACCACTGGTGTGTTATCAGCATTATTCTCATCCTGAATTAAAAACACAGCACTGCACCAGCTACTAGGAAGAGAATTAACTCTATCCCAGCCAAAGCCAGAACAGTATCCAACCCTTTTTTTATACCATTTACATCAAGCTCAGCTCCCACATTTTCCAATACATCCCAGTTAACCACCATCAGCATCACAGTCTTCTGATTTGTATACACACAGATATAATTCCCTTAGTCTGTGGACCATCATAAAAGTCCATTGAGTTAGTTTAGTCCATGACTTTGGGTTCTGTCTGTTGTAACAGTCCTTCAGGGCAGGAAAAATGGTATGTGTGGTGTTGGATTTTTGCATGCTGAGGCCAGTTCTGGTTCCTTCACTGCTATGCTTGTCCAGATTCACCAGAGATGATTCTTCATTAATCTATAGAACCCTTGATATGGCATAGAGCCTCCATAGAAGTGATAGATAATATGCAGTGTCATATGACAGTTAACATCGTACAGTTTAATTTACTGGCTATTCTAACCTAAAACCAAATCTTCCTAAGATATATATTGGAATTCCCCATCTTCCCACACTGCCCAGCAAATGCACCCAGGTCATTGACCAAAAGAAATCCCACGAGTGGGTTTGCCTTGGCTTGAGTCAGGAATAACTCTGGCTGTTTTCACTAGCATGTTCCTAATGTGCACCATAGGAACTTTATCCCCCTCTGCAGAATGTAAAAGTTCTGATGGGGCTGGGCCAGCATTGTTGGCGGATTGCCTGTTGTTGACCAATCAGGTGGCTTTTGCTAAATGTGCATCCAAGTGTTTGAAACTCCACCACCCACTGCTATCTTTGGTTAGGTCATTAATGCTCTCTCTATTGCTGTATGCTCCTCTGAACATGTACCTCATTACTTTTGCCTTCCAGCAGCTGTGCTGCCAGCAGAGCTATTTCTGAGGGTACGTTTTGATGAGCTGTTGTGATAGGTCTTTTTTGTAATGTTCTGGCACTACTTGGCACTGTGCTTCTAAGCAAATGAGGGGATTGAGCAAAAGGATGAAAGCATCATTTGCTAAACCTAACACATTTCTTGGAAAATATGCCTTTTAAAATTCATGTTGTTTCCTGCAAAGATTTTCAAAGCCAGGATTCCACCAGAAGCTTGCACCTCCCTGTTTCTGATGTCTCTGCTGCCACTGGCTGAGAAGGGTAAGATTTGGCTATAAGCAGCACATCATGTTCCAGTATTAGATAAATGTTGAATCCTTGTAGCTGATCATGTGTCTCAGGGAAGACAAAGGACTTGCTTGATTTCTCTGCAGAAAGACTCAAGTGGAGAGAATGGGGAGGTAGCAGTTCACACTGAGGCAGGCAAGATTGTTGTTATCCACTAGGAAAAATCCATATAAACAAACTGAAGTGTTGGAATGAATTACCTGGAAAGGTTCAGGGAGCTCCATTACTGAAGGGCCTTTAAACCAACCCAGACCCCTTGGTCATTCCTGAGAGCTGTAGCATATTTGGGGTGAGATTAGAGGATGAATTAGCCTCATGAGGACCAGACCAAGCTGACTTTCTATAGCTAGATGCCCCTCTGCTTTTACTTCAGCATTTGCAAAAGCAGTTCTGTAGACTCAGCCTGAATTTGCAAATAGTTTTGTGTCTCTGATTTCGCCTCTCCAGCTGCCCAAATGCTTTAATAATACGCCATTCAAAATCCTCATTTGACATGTTTCTGACTTTTCAACTTTCAGGTTCTGCTCGATGTCACCATCACAGCAGCTCTATGCATGAGAAGGATGTGAAACAACAACAGCTCGGTAAGTAGAAGTTCTAGCTGCAGGGCAGTGGTGCACTTGTCTCTGAGGAAGGACCTATTTAAACACCCAAAACCTCAACCTCCCAGCTTGAGGGAAACTTTTATTTAGTATGTGCATAAACTCTTAATGCAGCAGGTTATAAAATACACAGACAGTGGAACCTGGTGAATCACAAGAAGCATCCATTTCCTTTGCAGAGGTGTATTAAATCTAGTGGAGAAGAGTGGCACAGGCTACGAACTCTGTTGAAGTGTGATACGCTGGTGAAGCATTCTGTTGTAGGTCATCCCTGTATTTGCTCTTTTTTAAGCCAAATCAGGAGCTATACCGGCAATTGAAAACCCACTAAAGGCTCCACAATTTCTCTAGCACATTTAAAACTTGTATGGTTTCAGCTCACTCTAAAACAGAAAACTGAATAGATGAGTGGTAACAGAGTTGAGCCAGAGTAATTCCAGGAAAGACTGAGTAGCCTGAGCAGACCTGCAGGCTGTCCTGCACCAGAGTCTATGTCCTTTCCTTCATCAGCTGTCCTTCCACCCTTTTCCACCTCTGCTTTTAGCTTTGTGATGCCCATGCTCCAATGTCGCATGTGGGAATGCAGGGAGCATGGCAAAGCTCCCAGCAGCTGCAGCTGGTTTTTGATGGACAGTTTGCATACAGAAAAGGCCTTGAGGTGCTCCCAGGATGCCAGATCTTGTCTGCTGACATGAGTGAGGATAGGTTTTTTCAGAAGGTGCTGGGCACCCTTAATGATTGCCACTGTTCTGTCTTCAGCAAAGAGATGCTGGTACCATCAGGGATCTCCAGTTCTCAAAGCAAAAGCAGTGTCCCAAGGTGCTGGTAAGCTGACAAGTGTGGCACAAGGCTGTGGGTGAACAGGGAGCTAATGAACAGGAGGTTATATGCATAACATACCAATAGCTTAAAGAGATACTAAGATTTAATTTTTACAAAACTGTTTCACCTTTTCCCTTAATTTTGCTTTCCTTCGGCCCCTATGCAAAAGTAGGAAAAATTACAAGTTATTTTCATGTGCCCAAAATTTGTCATCTTTACCCAGCTGTGTGGAGCAGCCTCTGACCAAGACGATGTTTTCTCTGTCTATAAGTGGTAGTATTTTGGATCTGTCACTGTTCAGAACTATTTCACCCTCATACTTGCTCTGTTGTCTTCTCAGATGCACCTAAAAAGTACCGGCATGGATTCTGTCTGCCAGAGATATGGATGCTGGAGAGCAGCAGGAGCAGCAGTGTGGGAACAAATGCAGCCACTGGCTGTCAACCAAGCCTTTGTCAGCCTTGTCATTCGGCAGAGCAAAACCTCCTGCTTAAAAGAGGGAACAGAGAAATCCCAAAGTAAGCCAGAAGAATATGTGGATACAGCTGTGAAAGTATCAGATCTGTTTTGTAGTGTGGTCCCATCAGAAACAATGAAGGTAATCTTTTTGTTTGGTAAACCAGGTGCAGGCAAGACCGTGCTAATGCACAGCATTTATCAGAAACGGGTTGAAGGTGACCTATCTCAGTTTCTCTTCACTTCCCTGTTTGAGTTTCAGCAGCTGAATTTATTAAAAAGAAAATTGACTCTGAAGGAGCTTTTGTTTGACCTGTTCCTTCAGACAGAAGACAGCCCTGATGCAGTGTTTCCTGCTGGAAAATACCTGCTGTACACTGATCATCTCTGATGGGCTGGATGAGTTTGCAGCTAACATGGCCATGTCAGGCTCTTCTGAGGGAAGGCCAACCCTTACTTCCTGTATGTCCATATCTGAGCTCTTTGCAGACCTCTGTCATGGGAAGCTCCTGCCTGGGTGCACAGTGGTGGTCACCAGCTGACCTATGAGACTACCTGACTTCTTAGTAACTACAGTAAATCTGCTAGCAGAAATTTGGGGATTTGACCATGAGAAGATTAAGGAATATGCCAGCCACTATTTTCATCAGCCTTCATTCAAAGAGCAAGCCTTTGCTCACCTGAAGAACAACATTAAGCTCCTGAGCATGTGCCACATCCCAGTTGTGTGCAACTCTTTGCTCCTTAAACACAAGACGAATGTGGAGCTTCCTTACACTGACACAGTTTTATATCAAAATGCTTCTCATCTTCATAAATAAACAGCAGAGAGAACATGAAGGTGGTGAGGGGGCTAAGCTGCACTGCAACAAAAAGGCCATTTTGGGTCTCTGTGATCTTGCAATGAAAGTCCTGGAAGAAAAAAATCTTGTATTTTATGCTGGAGAAATTCCAGAGCACGTGAAGGAATTTGCTTCCTTACATGGACTGCTGACTGCTTTGGAGGTGAAGATGAGTGGCATTTGCCCAGAGGGTGGCTATGCCTTTGTGCACTTGAGTTTGCAAGAGTTTTTTGCAGCATTGTCTCTCATGGTAAGTAAGAGGGTGGACAAGAACTACTTGAGGAAGAAGTTATTTTTGAAGTCAAAATGGACTTTAAAGAACAAGGCAAAGACCGGGATAATGGAGAGTTTTCACATCTTCCTCTCAGGCCTGTTGTCAAAAGAACGTAGGACATTTCTCATGCTGCTAGCTGAACAAGATGAAGCTTGGATGCAGGATAAGCAGGATGTAATCCTGCAGTTTCTCAGGAAACTGGCAGCCACTAATCTGACAGGGCCTAAGGTCACTGAACTCTGCCATTGCACTTTTGAAACACAGGACCTCAAAGTAGTCCAGCACATCAGGAGCCTGCTGAATTTCAAGTACGAGTTCAAAAACTTTAGACTGACATCCCTGGACATGTTGGCTTTGCTTTTTGTCATGAACTTGGGCCAGGGTTTGACTTGTTTGGATTTTAGAGGATGTTTCATGGACATTGACTGTTCGGAAATTCTGGCCAGCTGTAAAAATGTAGAGCACTTGAGGTAAACACACTGAGTGCGATGGGCTGGTGGTGGGGAGAAAGGGTAAGGGGTTGGAAGGGAGAGCCTGGATTTGTTTTAGAAGGGTGAGAAAGAAGATGTGAGAAATGCTGATCTGAACAGCATAACTGTGATACTGAAGCAATTTATGAAAAAAAAAAACCTGTGAGTGAGGGAAGGATGTTAAGGATATATATAAATACAAAGATATATTTTTATGCTTCTTTGTTTTGATTGAAACGATCAAACAATAGGGTAATTAGTGTAGTAGAGAAGAGAGAAAATGATGGGCATTTCTTGACCTTGCAGAGGCAGGGTGAATCCTGCAAGCAAATGAGAAAGTATGAAATCACCATAAACCAGATGAACAAAAGGTGACAATTGCAATCTCAGGTGCTCTCTATTGGTGCTTTTCTGTAATGCTGGAAGGCCTTTTCAAGGAGGATCTCTTTGGATCCTGTCATGGAAAAGGTCTCATTTTGTATTTCTGTGACTGACTTCAGAGGAGTATGTGTAGAGTTGCTAATGTGTAGAAGATGGGGAGCAGCCAGGGGGAGAATTACCTTGCCCTGAAGAGAATGTTGTCTGCTGTGAGGCAGAGGAGCAAAAACAGACATAAAAACTGCTATTCCTGGCTAGCAATACCATTGTAAAAAGGACAGCACTGATGGTTCTTTGCCTCCATTAGGAAGAACTGGAATACTGTGCAATTCGCTGTTAGAAAAGCTTTCTGATGGTACATCCTAACTGTAAATGGCTCATGCAGGCACAGGGCCATGCACGGGGCCCATGAGCAGCTTAGCAGACGACCAAAACAGTTGGGCTGTTCCCTTCCATTAGGAGAATGAAACACAGGATTTTGGGGGATTCTTTCTTGGCTCATGCACACTCTAGTCCATGACTGCTTTTGTTATGGTCTGCAAGATACCAGCACTCTGAGAACTAGGTCTCTTGGAAGGGTGGGCAAAGGGCAGTGGGCAAAGCACTCAGTTCAAGAAGGACAGGGAGCTGCTGGAGAGAGTCCAGCGAAGGGCAACAAAGATGATCAAGGGAGTGGAGCATCTCCCTTATGAGGAAAGACTGAGGGAGCTGTGCTGACCCTACATAGTATCATAGGAACTTTTAGGTTAGAAACGATCTTTCAGGTCAACAAGTCCAACTATTGATACTGTAACCAGGAACAGTATTAGATAAATCAGTCTGTGGACAAAACCACTGACAACATCCCATTTCCACGTGGATTTTAGCTACAGTTCAAAGGAAGAGACAGAAAAGACACTGTTCCCTTGGATTTTCAGCAATAAGAGGCATGCTCTAAGTCAAAGCCACAGTACTGCCTTCCTACCCCAGTTAAAAGGGAGTGCCTCTTTAAAGGTCTTCCACATACCCCCAGGTGCAAGCAGGTGAATCAAAAATACCTGCAATTACTGCTGGATCCCATGCAAGAGTTAATTAATGGCTTTGCAGTATGATTAGAAGTGTTTAAAAGCATCCCAGAAAGAGAAGCAAGACCTCACGGTTCATATTTAATGAGGTCCAACAAGTACTGAAACAGAATAAACATGCAATTAAAGAATATCTCCTCAGAGGTTGCTAGTGTTGTGTCTTCAGGGTGTTATAATGGGCTTTAGACCACACTACTGTAACGTGCCATACTTAAATGGGATTTATTTTACAGCAAGAGGTATGTTGGGTCCAGCAGGTGAGGTTGTCTTCTTCCTCATGTTCACAGTCTGAGCAACAACAACTTTTCCTTGGCTGCTGTTCTCACTTTGGCAAAGGAAGTCATCACTTGTCAGAATGCTACTGAGATGCTTGTCAGGTACATGCTGTATGTTGTCTCTTTAGGTGCTGCCTTTTAAATGGATACTGCTTTACAGCTTAATTGTTGGCTAATCAAGTCAACAAAAATTAATTTTAATCCTTTCTGTTTTCTGTTTGAAACAAAATTTGAACTCATCACATTATGTACTTACTCTTTGCATTTTTTTAACAGATTGCTTTATCCTTGGTCTAGAAATTGTTTAGCAGGCTGTAATACTTCATATATAATAGAATTTAAACTTGCTTTTAAGCTCTGGATACATCAACTTCTTTACCAGCTAGCATGAATTTGCTACAAATCAGCTAAGTTTACTGAAAAGGTGTGGATTTAAGTAGCTTTATGTCTGTATTCCTTTAAATTACAGGTTTTGGTGTTTTCATGGGTCCAGAATGACCAAGAAAAGATGGAATTTTTAAATCCTAGCTCTTATGTTTGTCATATGTTGTAAGTTTAACAGCCCAAATGAATCCTTGCTGTGACTTCATGGAAGCTGAATTGCATGCAGCTTTTTCATATTTTTCTTGCTGGAATGGAGCTTCTACTGATCCTCTTTCCAACAAACTGCTGGTCTTGCAAAAAATATTAAAACCCCCCAACTCAGTCTTCTTACCTGTGTTACTGTGGTGTGTGTACCACAGCCCCAGCATGAGGGGTGTCCTGCTGCCCTGTAGCCACATGCCTGTTTTGTGGCTCGCCTGTGGCAATGTGCTGGTGTGGAACGTGCCAAGGCCCTCTTTAGCCTCCAGGCAACAGCTTGGGTCCTTATTATAAGCACCTCTGTGAAAGAGATGGCATCTTTCCACCTCTGCCCTAACATTCGCTTGGATTTTTTTTCAGGAAGTACACTGTGATTATGTATTTTTCTGGCCCATCTGGGAAAGTTCCAAGGTGAGAAACTGTACTTGGTGTTGTGCTGTATACAGCGTTAGGCTGATTCAGACAATCAGCTTGGCATCACCATAAACCACTCCAGTCACAGAACTGGTTGTCTCTACCCTTGTATCTGGCAGAGCTCAATCCACCTGAGCAAGCATAAACGTAAGCAAAATAGCTGGTCTTTACGCAGACCTACCAGTCAGTTCCACAAAGGCTCACCTTAGTGCCTGAGTAAGGTTGATGTGCTGATTTTCTGCTGCAAAACTGCTGAAAAACAATTTAGTGTGAGGCTAAATGAAGGAAAAGACTGCTCCTTCTCTGGCTGGCTCCTGTGTTCTCCCTGCCTGTATGTACTTTAGAGGGGAGGCTGGATTTGATCTTAATTTAGAAACTACAAAACAATCACTTGTTCCTTGAAAGGGAGCTCAATTTACCCTGTCATGCAGTCCTTGAGAGACCTCCCAGTATTCTACAAGCATGAGTAAACTGGCTCAGCCTGCCCTGTAGAAACTACTATTCAGATGCCTGAACATCCTATTCAGATGCTGTGGGCAGCCTGGCACACATGGACTTGTTTATCCCTTTGTGTGATGGCACAGTCCCACATGGAGGCACAACATCCTGCATCTTGGTAGTGCCTTTGAACTGGGGCTCAGTTACCAAGTTGATTCAAATATACAGTGAAATCCCTGTGCCCTGATCTCCTGATGGGGCTCTTCTGGCTCTTGAAAATCACTTAAGTTTGCATGGAATGGTTGCACAGAACACAGACTTCGTGGTTTCTTCCAGAAAATACTAACCAGCATTCAAATCACGTGTTTTGTGAAGGCATATTAAAAGCCAGATATTTTGCTTGTTTTCAGATCTTTGGATTTGAGGTGGGAAGAGAATAAGGAACACGTAATTCCAACTAAACAAATGAAGTTATGGTAAGAGAAGACATTGAAATCCCTGCTGGTGAATGTCATTTGCAGATGACAGCTACTACAGAAGGACAAAGGTAGCTCCTGTGTTGTTCCTTAAGGACAGAATATGCTTCCACATACAAAAATATTTTAAATAAACCTGAATCAGTAAATAAAAATAACAATAGAAATTGCTATTTGGGCAGCCAGTAGCTTTATTTCTTGTGTGTTAGGCTCTAGAGAGCAACTCTAGAGAGGCAGAGTTCCCTTGGTAGTGTCCATCTTGCCATATGTTCAAAGGCATAATAGTTTTCCTTCTTGCTTGGGCTCTAGAAGAATCATAGAATCATAGAATAGAGAGTAATGGTTTTCTCAAAATAGACCTCAGGCATGTTATCTGAGCATGACAATGTTGGGAAATGGCCCTCCCCTCCCTCCTCTTTCTGTCACTACTCTGTACACAACAGGAACAATTCTATCCATCCCCTTCTCGTGGATGGTGGTGACAGGCAGCTCTCACAAGGCACAGCTCTCTGCAAGAGTGTCCCTCTGAACTCCTTTTGCAAAGAGGCTACAGAGGGACAGAATGATATGCCCAGGGCTGTGACAACAGAGTAAAAAATCTCTCTTGGTACTGTTTCTGTATGCCCTCACTTGGAGAGAGACACCAGAAGTGCATGAGTCCCGCTGTCCCCTCACTGCTCGCTCATTAAAACTTCCTGTTCACAGCTTGCAGTACTGCAGCCTGTCTTCCCAACATGCAAAGGAGATTGTTGCCATGCTCCAGAGCTGTTCCTGTCTCTCTGAAGTGCAGTAAGTGCCTCTTTTCCTTACTGTTGAGAGGCTGCAGGTGGGTGGCAGGAAGCAGGAGATGTTACATGTAGAGAACAGTGAGACGAGACATGGAGCCTGAACCTGAGGAAGGGTCTCAGCATTCTGTTATGTCTAGTGAGATCCTGGTTAGCGATTTTGGTGAGGTTCGGGGTGGGAAGGGGGTGTGTGTGGGGGGGTGTGGGTGAATGCTGAGCAACTTTTGATTCCTGTGACAACTACAGTCGGTTACAAAGCATAACCTGCTAAGGAAGACGTGCTGCTTGCTGGAGGCACCCTCTGAGCACCCTCAGAGCAAATCCTCTGAGCCAGTGAAGGGACACAGATGGCTTATATGTTGTCCCATTTCAAGAATCAAAATGGTTTGAGTTGGAAGGGACCTTAAAACTCATCCAGCTCCAACCCCCTGCCACAGGCAGGGACACCTTCCACTAGACCAGGTTGCTTCAAGCCCCATCCAAACTGGTTTGAAGACTGCCACAGATGGGGCAGCCACAGCTTCTCTGGGCAACCTGTGCCAGGGCCTCAGCACCATCACAGGCAAGAACTTCTGCCCAAGAGCTCATCTCAGTCTCCCTTCTGTCAGGTTAAAGCCATTCCCCCTTGTCCTGTCCCACAGGTCCTCGTCCAAAGCCCCTTTCCAGGTTTCTTGTATCCCCTTTAGGCACTGGAGCTGCTCTAAGGTCTCCCCTTAAGGAGCCTTCTCTTCTCCAGTCTGAACCAGCCCAGCTCTCTCAGCCTGTCTCCAGAGCAGAGCTGCTCCAGCCCTCACAGCATCTCCGCAGCCTCCTCTGGACTCACTCCAACAGCTCCACGTCCCTCGTGTGTTGTTGCCCCAGAGCTGGATGCACGACTGCAGGGGGGAGTCATGAACCTCCAAAAGCCATCCAGCCCTGCTGGGAGAATGCAAGAGATCCATTTCACAACCTGAACACTACGACAAGAGTTATCCCTACATTTCCGTAGTTGCCTCAGTATGAAGCCATCTGATTTCAGCTGTAAAGCTCTCCTTCTAGCCTGTCTGCCCTGGAAAATGCAGGAATAGCTGTTGCAAGGCAGTTCAGTCCAGCTTGTATCTTGAATTTAGCTACACCTCAAATTCAGGTTCTCTAGCTCACTGGTTTGAATTGGATCTGGAGATCTTTGTCACCCAGTGGTTTTTTTGCCTTCCTTTTTTTCCAGAAGGACAATAAACACTCATTTGGTTTCTTGTTTTCTACTCCCACTTAGATTTTCTAAAGTAAGATGGTTTTGGGGCTAAAGAATGAATCATGTTGTCCTTGTGTGAAGTTGCTTCATAGGCAGTCATAGGCAGGGAAGATTGACCTGGGACAGAAGAGCAGTCCAGGCAAAAAAAAAAAAAAAAAAAAAGCAAAAAACAGTCCAGGAAAGGGAAAGCAAGCAGATTTTGAGGGTTTTGTTGTTTTATACTGTTCAAAATAGCCCACACTAACTAGAAAATGCCTCAGTTTGTCAGGTAGCAAGCTTGGAGATGCAGGCTGTAGTTGCTGGAAAGCCTGCCTTGGATATCAATTTCAAAGCAGCTGAAGTAAGTATACCCTTGTACAAAACCAAATTGCCCTCTTTTCTTGTGCCTGGCAAGGACCAGGGATGCTGAGGAAGAATCCAGGAGGCAAAGGCCTCACCCAGACTACCACTGTAGCAGCTCTGAGCACTACGAAGGAAAGGTGAGACTCAGCCAGTAAGACTGTTTGGGGCTGTTTGTGAAGTTGATCACTTGCTCAGAGTATCATGCTCAGAAACTGATCTAAATGTGTCTGAAGTGTCCATTTGTAAAACTATTTCCTCAGGAATAGCAGTCGTGTATGTTTTCCACCATGCCACTTCTGATATGAAATGGGCTCAAGAATGCAGCACACCAATGATTACTTCCACTAGGACAGTCCTGTGTGTCCATAGAATTGTGGAATTCCAGACTGGTTGGAAGGGTTGGAAGAGACCATAAAGCTCATCCAGTTTCAACCCCTGCCATGGGCAGGGACACCTTCCACTAGACCAGGTTGCTCCAAGCCCCATCCAACCTGGCCTTGAACACTGCCAGGGATGGGGCAGCCACAGCTTCTCTGGGCAACCTGTGCCAGGGCCTCAGCACCCTCACAGGGAAGAACTTCTGCCTAAGATCTCATCTCAGTCTCCCCTCTGTCAGGTTAAAGCCATTCCCCCTTGTCCTGTCCCTACAGGCCCTTGTCCAAAGCCCCTCTCCAGGTTTCTTGTAGCCCCTTTAGGCACTGGAGCTGCTCTAAGGTCCCCCCTTAAGGAGCCTTCTCCAGTCTGAACAAGCCCAGCTCTCTCAGCCTGTCTCCAGAGAAGAGGTGCTACAGGCAGCCTAATTGTCTAGTTTGTCTTTCTTAGCCTCAGTCAAAACCGCCTCTCTGTTAATGGCATTTTCAGTCTATTGAAGTCAGTAAGTACCTGCCAGATGACGATGGATGCACAACTCAGGTATGTAAGTCTTGACTCATTTCTGGGGTTAATCCCAATATACAAGTCTGAGAGTTATGTTCTGAGGTCTTTGTTTAGTTACCCCAAAAGTGGGGTAGGTGAGAAACATATCCAGAGATGATTACTAACACAGGCACTTAGTAATATACTGCTGTGAGCTGATTTTATCTGAGCCATTAACCAGCATTTGAGAAGCTACAGAACTATGTGTCCTTTCACTCGTGGTGGGCAGTTACAGACTCTTCTTTTCTCCCCCCTGGGAAGTTCTGGAGAGAGGATCTCTGTAGGATATTGGAACCAGTGACATCTCCTGGAGTGGAGCTTTAAGTTCTCTTATGACTTTCCCTTTGAAATCTTCAGGAATTCAAGTGTAACCATTTTGTCTGCACTTTCTCTAATGGTTCAGAGAAAGTGGGGCATCTGATATTGCATAGTGTGATCCAACCAGCACTTAAAACTAAAGGAGATTTTTTGATTGCTTAAGGAGTATTTTAAGTTATTGCAGAGAAAAAAAAAAAACAACAAAAACCTAACAAACCAACAAGAATTCCAGTAAGTAACTAAAATGTGACATTGATTTATTCTCTTCTTCACAGCCTTTGTCATGAGACTGCAGTCCTGAGGTTTACAGGAGACAGAGAGTTTTCTCCCCTTCCTCCTAGGTAAGAGTGTGAGTGCACAAATGGTGTTTTCTCAGCATCTCAGTTCTTACATCCCATTTAGGTACCAAGGTTAACACTATCTCACAGCGGTTCTTTCTCTCCCTCCATCTGAATCTAAAAGTAGTACTTTCTCCTGGTTTCCTTAGCCACTTTGAAATTTGTCTCTGCCTTCTGTAGTGTTAATGTTTCATGTCTCTGGGGGACATTTCAACCCACAGCATCCTAAACTGTGCTCTCTGATAATAGTGAAGAGCAAAAACCCAAGTGAACGTCACACCTCCAGACCAAATTGCAAAAAGATTCACTGATCCCTGCGCTCTTGAAACCCTCTAGTTCACTACACTCTGCATTCTGGATCATGGTACTCCTAAATCAAAGTAAATTTGGAGTTTTATTTTCCCCCCTCAGAAAATTACTGTCAAAACAGCTCAACACAAATGTTTTGATTGACAAATGGTTTCCTGTTTCTCCTGGAGCCATAGGTTCACTTATTTATGTCCTTGTTCTCCATGTACTGAGCCCACTGTAAAATAACATTTCTCACAGTACACAGCTCACCTCTTAGCCAGAAAGGACCGGCAGGGCTATTGTGGGATGCAACCCAGTTGTTGTGGCTGTGCTTGAAAGAGAGTGACTGTCTGACACACATGATCTGTGCCTCCTTTAAGGTACCAGGTGACATTTCAAACTGAGATATTTCAGGATTTGGATGTTCCATTTATTTGTGAATAGTCAAGCTTTGGTTCAGGAATGGACTCTTTTCATAAAACATGCTTAGGCAAAAGTTGAATTCTCCTGAATTCTCCAAATTGTATCTTAGATGAGTAATATATTTTTTCACCTTCTCCCCAGTTGCCTGCATGCTCAGCTATTTGCCTAATCACTGAAAGAAAGAGGAACTTGCTATTGGCAAGATATGGATGTGGGCTGGAGCCAAGGGCAGCCCTAGGGATTGCCAAATTGCTGAAGTGTTTAAAGTTTTTACTCTTGTCTGGATTTGTGCTCACTTAGGGAAGAGACTGTGTGCTTTATTGGTGACCAACAACACGGAGAAGAAAACCAGACTCCTACAACCCCACGAAAAATAAGGTACCATGGCAGATTTTCCTTATACTTCATGCATGTCTTGTCTCTGGATCCTATAGCTGACACAGCCTGCATCTCCAGATTTGAATGGTGAAGCACAAGAGAGCTGGTAAAGGCCCATTCAGTCAGTCATTTGTCACTGTGTTCCTATTTCCACCTTCTAGCACTAGAAGCTCTGCGGCTAGCATCTGTGGTTGTCCACAGGCATTAAAATAGACTGTGGGATCTATGTCTTGCTTCAGAACTGGCATGGTGACTGTGCAGTTACCAGATCAGCTCCCATGGGAGCTGTCGGGAGCTGGTGGTCACAGAGCTGCTGATGTTGCCTTTTCAAGGGGATTCTTTATTTTGCTGTCTCCTCCTTTATTCTCTGGTTATCTGAAGGAGTGAAGTTTACAATCTTGTTTGCAATCCTGCAGATCTGGACTGTTGATTTCTTTCCTCCTAGACTGACAGACAGTCATTTTCAAGCCAGTGACCATGGAGAAGCTGTGCGCAGTCCTGAAGGAATGTAGCAGCATCTCTGAGCTGGAGTGAGTTCTTCTTAACTGTTATGATCCTTATCTGCAGTTCTTTGGGATACTGAGAAAATGCCACTTGTTTGTTCTGCAGTGCTGTACGGAGATGTGGTAGAGATGTAACCTCATGTTATCTGGGCTAATATCCTTTGCCAAGGAGACATACAGTTCTAATGCTCTTTTAGGGCAAAGGTTGCAGGACATAAATTTAGAAAGGGGCTGCCTGATCACTTAGCCTGACTTCAGGTATTGCAAAAGCTGGGAAACATTGTTGTGTCATTTTTGCCTTTGGGCCATTTGAGGGCAAAGCTGCAGAAACTGAGGAATCCCCCCCAAACCAAGGGTGGGAATCTGTGTTTTTGCTGGTGATCCCATGTATGGTGTGCAGGGATCTTCAGCACCAAAGTACTTTTTTCTGTTTGTGCTGTGCTAACACCAAGAGATGGGCAGATGCAGCCCTGATGGAAGGGCTAGCCAGCACACACCCTACATCTAGATTTTGAGGCCAGAAGAGGGACCATCCCAAGCGTGTAGTCTGTGCACCACCATCTGAGAGCTGGCTATTCCCTTAGGCCTGGCAGCCTGTGGAACAGATTTTTAGCCTTTGCTCTTTTTAAGCAATTGTGTCCCTTGATCTTACATGGGCTGTACCCTGTTGTAATCCTTAGGCTCTATTATCATAGCATAGTAGCCTTCTCCAGGAGTAACCCAGGGCTCCTCTGTCTACATCAGTCACTTCTCAGAGCTGGGGACTTCTGGTCCCTGGTAACTGCATTAAAAAGGACCCCTCAGTCCAGAGGGGTCACTTGGTGGACATGAAAAAAGAATGTGCCCTGAGCTGGATTTTTGGCTGTCCTGTGTTGCTTATTTCTGGTCTTTGCTTTTCCTGTAGGCTTTACTTGTAGTGGAAAAGGGCAGTGCATATGTTGGTTTGATTAGGGTGCCTGTGCTGTTTCCAGAGCTCCTGTTATTGAGAGCTGATTATTCCTGTTCTTGTTTTCTATGAAAATTAAATGTCTTTCTTTAAATCCTAGCCTATCAAATAATTATCTGCGGGACTGCTGCAGCTGTTTCAGTTCCTCCAGAATTTGAAAAGGTTAAGTTCTCTCAAGTGAGTAGCTCCTGTTTCTCCTTACTCATGGATGAGTTTTGTGGGGGTATTGGTTGTGGCAGCACATTTGGGAAGGGCCTGGGTGATGTGGTGTAAGTTCCTGATAGCTTTGCTTGCAGCAGCTGATTTCATCTGCTCTTCCTGAGACTTAATGGCAGCCACATCTCCCTGAACTCTGTTTTTCTTAGCTCAGTCTTTATCTACATTGGAAGACATTATAATAGTGGACCTCAGGTATGACCAGGAGTACTTTTCCTATTTTTTTCTATTTAAAGCCTCAAGCTGTGGCATTTGAGGAGTGATGGAGGAACATGTCTTCAAACTCTATCCTAATTATGTTCTTTTCTGATTACAGCTTATAATACAGCCAGGTGGTTCACGTAGCCTTCTGGGACAGAACCAGGTAAAATTATTCCCACTCTCCCTAATCCTTTTGAACTCCTAATGAAATCTTAAATAGATTATAATGTGAGTCCCCCAGGTGTGACAATTACAGAGTCATTTTTCTCCAAGCTCCAGTCAGGGTGCTGGAAGAAGGGTGAGCTGTTTCATGGCTGAACAGCTTGAGAGTATGGAGCAGACAGAGGTATCCAACTGCTAATCAGGGATGCTGCCATCTCCCTCCTGGGCCAGGGCAGAGCAAATGCCCAAGGAGCTGAGTGGATGCAGAGTGCTCTGGAGACTGGAAAAGGGATGATAAGGCCCTTGTGATGATGTGAGCTTAATTCTGGCAGGTGGTGGGAAAAGGCAGATGAGTGTGAGGCCACTGCCAACACCTCACCCTCTTCCCCAGCTGCAGTTTGGGGAGTCAGCTCCATGGGGGCAATAACATCAGCATAACTCAGGGAATAAACCATTCTTTCCCCAGGGTCACAAGTACCAGCAGATGGAGAAGTGATTTCCTCATACATCCAAGCATGAAGAAGAAGGACAGTGCTTTTGGAATGGCCAGCCCCCAGAACACTCTTTTTGTCACCAAGGAGTGTAGGGAGAGGTGGCTAGGGGAGCCTGTATCTGTAGTGTGTGAAGCAGACCCATTCCTCCAGCTGTCTCCTCAGAGAGCTGTCTTCTGCCCTGCCTGCCTTGGGGGGGGCTTTCTTGTGTTTTTATCCCATCATGACTGATGCCCCATGAGACACCACTGGAAAAAGTGCATCTTTAGTATATCTCTCTTCCATTGTCTTCCCTGCTGAAACTGCTCAGGGAGGCCAGTCCCCAGAGTAATACTTGTTTATAAGGGAAGGTGTCTTGGCTGGTGTAATTTGGCAAAGCTTTAAAGAGATTGGGCCAACTGACATCAACCCAGGCCAACAGATATTTGTGCTTTGGGGTCAGTGGAGGGACACAATGATATGCCAGAGGTGGCTGGGTGAAGAAGGACCAAGTCCCAAGTCTGACTCTCTTGGGACAGACTTGGGATCTCCACTGCTACATGCATAGATGAGAAAACAATAGGACATGTTTTGCTTGACTGGGTTTGAGGGGTTGGCCTTGCTTTCCTGCAGAGGAAACTTCTACCCATACAAAATGCGATACAGATCTGGCTGGCTACTACATTTGTCCCATGGAGACCTCCCAGTTTGTCACCCAGGAAAGTTTATGAGATTTCATTCTTGGAGAAGGACATAGGAGGCATGATTCCCAGCCTTTCTCTGAGGGAGCCAAGACAGTGCTGAGCAGTGAAAGAATTGTCCAGTTTCCTCAAACAACTTAAGCACCAATGATGTGGCTCTAGGGAGGCAACACCCAAAGTGACATGCTATTTTGGTGGACTGGATTTCTTGAATCAGCTCAGAGCTGGTGAAATCATCTGGTTGTCACGGGTTTTGACTTCTCAGTCCTAGACTGTGGGTAGCAAAACACAGGTAGTGGAAGCAGGAGAGTTGCTGTAAGTCTTGTCCTAGGATGTGAGGCTATGGGGCTGTTGCCGTACTGTGGTCATGGGGAATGTTTAGCTCCTGAGTGCTTTGTTTGCTTCAGTCTCAGGGACTGCAGATTGGGTCCAGAGGATGTGACCAGGCTGTGCCAGACACTGGCTCAATGTCCCCAGCTGACACAAATTGAGTAAGTGTTGTGCACTTGGCAATCCTGTTTGTCTATCGGTCTTCCCATCCTGCAGATACAGTCAGTGTTCAGGTTAGCAGCCAGTGTAAATTGGCTCTCCTAGCCACGGCCTTCTAGAAATCCCTGCAAAGCTTCACCCAGGTGCTTAAATAAACTCACACTTTCTACTGTCCTCTCTGTTTCAAACATGCGCTCTCCTAAGTCTATCATGTCAGTGTGTAAACATCTCAGAAGACATTCATTTCATAGCCTTCCTCAGTCATGTGGCTAGACACAAGTAGTGTCACCTCAAGACCCTGGCTTGTAGTATAGCTGCAGCAAGAGCACCTGGCCCACTAAACCATGAGATTAACTCCTGAAGGGCTGGGCACTCCAGGAGTAATAACAAATAAAACCATCATAATACCCATATTTCATGCACTAAATATGTCAGTAGCATCACTTTATAAATTTACAGTAATGAAAAGGTAAGAGTTTTAAAACTGGAGTGTTAATTGGCTGTAGGATGTAGAAAAACACAGAGATCAGCCTGGTGGGACTAAATCTTGTGCAACTTTTAGGGCATTTCTGGACATGTCCTTTTTCAGAATTTGCTTATGCACATGTGTGTGCACGTCCATTTATAGTTTATAAAAATACTTACAGATTGTCCCAGTTTCTCTTAGAATTTGTTTCCTTCCATGTTTTACAGTGTCTGGAAATTCATCATGTGACCAGAGCATTGAGAGATTACTGAGCTTCCTGCCATACCTCTGTCATCTGAAAATACTGAGGTAATGTTTGGGGTCCCTGTTCTGATTGCTGCCAGGAAACATTGGTTTGGAAGGTGCTAATACTACAGCATATTTTAGGAGCATTAATTTGTAATTTTAGATTAACAGGCTAGGCAAGGAAAACGCAGAAACTCCTTCACACCTGTTCGTGTCTTGTTTCTAGAACCGAAGCAGCACTGAACCTTTTTTCTTTAATGATACATAGAGGGGGATAAAGGACAGGAGGAGAAATACCCACCTTAAGCACAGCGTCCCAGATAATCCTCACTTAGCAGGTCCCATGCAACATGAATTCCAGCAGCCATAGCACATGTAGGACTTGTTGATTGAACATGGCGACACACACCTGTGCACACACATGTGTGGTCTGTATCTCACAGCTCTGTCCCTGCATGGATCTGGCATCCTGCCACACTTGGTACCAAAATGTTTCCTGGAAGCATATCAGCCATTTAGTTTGGGAATTTAGGCTAGAGAGGTGCTGCCAGGAGGGGCTAAGGCACTCCCACCACATTGAGAAAAAGCCCATAACAAGCTTCGTCATCTTTCACAAGGTATTGTAGCATGGGGGAACTGCAGGTGTTAACAGACTGAATTTGCTCACTCAGGAGGTTGCTTCCAGTCTGGAGTATCTCTATGTCAGTAGCTCTGAAGAGGAGCTCAGTGTAAACCTTTGGTCTGTACTCACTTTTTAGTGAAAGGAGACTAAATGAGACTCTCTTTTAGTTAACGGAACGCTGAGTGCCAGTACTCAAAACTTTAGATACTGATCTTGAGTTAAATGTGGTGAATCCAGCCTTTTGTTTCAAGTAAACAGTGGGAAAATTGGGCTGTGTATATTGAAACCTTTCTTCTTGGGAGATGATTTAATCCTTCTTTCTTGCCCCTCCTTTCTCAGTATTAGGAATAATTTTCACTGTGTTGCACTGTCCTGCTTATCAACTCCATCAACCTGTGTGAGAGGATCAGAATGATAGAAATCCAGTAAGATGAGCCCAGCAGCTCACCTTCAGAGCTTGACATCTTTGAGGAGCATAGCTGAAGGACTGTCTTCTGTGTTTGCTTCAGGTCAAGTGAAAATACTTTATTGCATCTAGAAGCAACCATGCGAAGCCAAAAGACATCCTGCAGGTACTGACATACAACAGTTAATTATAATTCCCTTGGTTTGAGTGGTGCAGGTAGACAAATCTCCTATTGTATGAAGAACTCATGGGCTGGTGATCAAGGAGCTTGGGCTAGTAGCTGAAGGTTTGTGGCTCAATTCAGCTGCCTACGTGCAACTGAGTACCATTTGGGTATATTGGGGTGGCAGAAGCCTGTGCTTTTCTTAAGTGGCTACAGGACTGCTCATGATATTAGGAAGTTACCTACTGTGAGGGTGGTGAGGCCCTGGCACAGGTTGCCCAGAGAAGCTGTGGCTGCCCCATCCCTGGAAGTGTTCAAGGCCAGGTTAGACAGGGCTTGGATCAACCTGCTCTAGTGGAAGGTGTCCCTGCCTGTGGCAGGGTGTGGAACTGAATGATCTTTAAGGCCCCTTCCAATGCAAACCAGTCTGGGATTCTATGATTACCTTGAGTTGCACCAGAATTTGCTTCACAAACAACTGAACTGAACCATAACCACCACATTTTCTAAATGTGTGCCTCAAATTCTGGGTGATAATCTTCATGTGAGCATCAGTGTGATGCGTATGTGATACATGTCTGTAGCGTCTCTGGCAGGAATGCTTGCTGTGTGCCTCCATAGAAGACTGAACATGTCTCCAGTTAGGTACCATGGAGATGGCAAAAACTGTGGAAAGATGTGTTCCCCACTTGTGGTTTTTCATTACCAACCTCAGGGAGGCATTGTGAGAAGTATCAAACACTGGCACACTTAAGGGCATTCATCTCAGTGGATGTTGCACAGAGTCTGGTGTAAAAATGCAGCTGCTGATGGGTAGCTCTCATGGCTCAGGCTGACTGTGGTTGCCAGCTGTGCTTTAACAATTTTGCTGTGTCATACGCAGGCTGATGGACTGTGCCATTGGTCAAGGGCAGACAGATGAGCTCTGCAGGGTCCTGGAGCAGCATGGCAGGCTGGCAGAAGTGGGGTAAGTGTGGCTTGGGTTGCTACCATTGCCTTGAACAGGAATCACTGAGGGAGAGCTGGGCTGGTACAGCTCAGCACTGTCTGGGGTTTCCCAGCCCATCTGTGCTATGCAGATAGACTCCTCAACTCGTTAAAGTTGTAAACTAGGTATGCTTTTATTCAGAGCTGAGCCGCATGGGGGATAGGTCCTACAAAAGCATGCGTGCCTCAGTGTTGTTTCCCTCTACGTTTATTCTCTAAAGTTATATATATGCATGAGGTTGCACAATACGCCTATACATATTCATGTCCTATCCCTACTTCGTATTATAATGAGCCAGAAGGTCCTTTGTGCCTGCGCAGTGCCCCTTCGGGTCATGGGCGAGGGTCTCAAGATGAAGTAAATGAGTCTTCCTCAAGTCTGAACTTTTCACCTGTAGCAGTCATGCAGGCTCTTTAGGAGTCTGGTCAAAGTCCAAACCATGAAGCTGATCTTCACTGGAACTAAGTGACTGTTCCTCCTCCTTATCAGTCTGTTTCTTCCCCTTATCAGACTGTTTCTCCCCCTTATCAATAGCCTATTGCCCTGGTACTGCATGGTAAGCTTGACAGGTATTTGCAAATAATGCTTTCTGTTAAACAGGCAAGATTCCTTTATCCCCCGTTGTACAACCCCCCTGTACATTGGTCAGCCCTCCGCATCAATTCCACAGGGGCAGGTCATCTCTGTGTAGAAGGGCACAGGTATTCAGCTGTACTAGTTGTTGGCACGTATCTGTAAATGAACATCCTCAGGGTTTGCTCTCTGAAACCGTCATCCCTAATTTTCTTCAATATGTGAGATTTCAGAAGTGAGTCTGTTGAAAGCAATGTCAAATGTTCTTTACTTGGATTTGTGTCTTTATCTCCTTTCCTCCCTGGCAAAAATACCCCCTGGGTTCTGGACTTTTTGCACTGGCAGGAACTGCTCTTTCTCATGGATTCAGTTCACAAGGCTGGGCTATGCTGCGGAACTGATCTTAGCAATGTTTATGTTCATGTAGATCAGTTGGATTGTTGCGAATGGAATTTAAACACTTCCATTCATCCCTGCAGGTAAATGTGGGTGCTAAATCTTCTGGCTGGGATGTTTTAAAGCAGATCATTCTCCTGGTTTAGCTCTTCCCAGCATGTGGTAGAGAGTGCAAGGACAGGAGGAGGCAGACAAAAGCAGGGCAGAACAGGATTGCTTCTCCAACCGCTAGTGCTGCCTTACACCAATTTAGCATTAGCAAAACCTCATTTTCCTGAGCTGGTTTATTGTACGGAGAGGTGAGTCAGTCCAGGTGCCCTGTCACTGTATTGCTTTGGGCAGTTTGATGTATTGTTAAATTCTGACCATTGGGAAAATAATCATTTTCCATCCTAATTTACCCTCACTTGTCTTCTCTGTGAAGTTTATGCTCCAAAGCAACTTTACCATCAAGTTGACAAGCAGAGATGACCCGAGAAGGATTTTGAGGTAATGGTACAGATTTTTTGGTGTGATTTCTTTAACAAAAGTGATATCCTTTTTCTAGGGACAAGGCAGACAAAACCTCTTGTAGCCCTTAGCTCCTGTTGCAGTGATGTTTTACATCACAGAGAATCCCACATCCTTTTCTCTTACTGCTTCCCTACTGACTCTTGCTTAGGAATCTGTAGGTGTGCCTACACATGACAGGATGCTACAAGAAGTTGCACCATTAGCTTACATATATGTTGTATTAGAACATCTTGATAAGATGCTTTTGAAATGCTGCCACAATCTTTTTTGGAAGTCCTGCAAGGTATTTTGTTCTCTGTGGGGAAATGTTGTAATGCCTGAGATTTCTGAGTCAGAAAGTCTGAACTGTTTTAAGGAACTCAGACTATTTACTTTCATACTGTTTCAGACTCACAGAGTACAAATTTCAACCAGAACACTTGGAAAAGTTGTGTTTGCTCCTGGAAAAACGCACTGGTCTGACAGAATACATGTGAGTTAATGACTGCCTGAACCCATTTGGGTGGGCTCCTTTGTAAGCTGCTCATTACAATGACCTTTGTTTCTAGATCCTTATATAACAATGTGACTGTCCAGGCTGCAGAAAGACTTCTGCATTCACTGAGAAAAAATCTGGGTCCTCTGTAAATCAGGTACTATGTTGCTGTGCTGTTTTAGACACTGATATGAGGCATCTGGTCATCTAAGATCTTCTTTCATCAAAACCAAAAGTGAAATGTGCTTCTTCCAAAGACAGGTAGGATTGGCCTGAGAAAACCCCAGGGGTGACTCTAAGTTATTGGTATTTTGGCTTTATTTTCTTCATTCCTACTAAGCATCATGTAAAGCTGTAGCCATAAACTGTGCTGTCTTTGTAGACCCCTACCTGCCTCACAAAGAAGCTTGCTAATTCTGGTGAGCCCATTCCTACTGTGTCCTCACCAGAGCGTCCCACAGTTCACCTGGGTAACAGATTCTTCACTTGTCCCAAAATGTGTTGCATTAGAACACAAGAGCCAGACTTCTCACTGCTGTCAGAGGTGTGCAGGCAGGAGGGAACTTGGTGTTTGTGTCCTCCTCTGCAGGGAAGCTCAGCTGCTTCTCTGTTCCCAGTTTGCATCCTGTTTCCTATGTACTGCCCCAGGTTACTCCATCATTACTCAGATGAACAAAGCTCAGGGTTCTGTTACTCTGTGTGTAACAGAGTACTGAGCACTCAGCTGACAGAGGCAGAGATTGATCCATGCATGTGACTAAAGCACAGCTGCCTGTATTCTGCTTTGCAGCATAGAAGAGCCTTGGGTACATAAATAAATTGTCATGAACCTTATTTACCTGGCTGTCCAGACCTGTGGAAACATTACTGAGATCAGGTAAGTAACAACTAAAGTTCTGGTATCTTCCAGATACTTTCTTTTAGCCTGATACTTTTCAGGAAATAGGATTGAAGTGCTTAGAAGATTTGTGGTTGCACGCATCAGGGGGTTTAGCGGGAAGGACACCATGTTCCTGGTAACCCTTTGGAGGAAAGGTGCCTAGGCTAGGCTGGCTCTAGTACTAGTTTAACCACAGCACATCTCTTCAGAGATGGGTGGTTAGCATTTGTGCACCTGCATAGTCCTGACCCATCCAGTCCTCATGATTTTTCTTATGGAGAAACAGCATTTACCTTCCCTCAAGATTTCAATCTCTGCCTTTCCAGGATATGTAAAGAGAAAAACCTCTTCCAATTAGGTGTTAGGTTCCCACACTACCTGGAGAAGGTGGAATCAGACGTTAGCAGGTGAGAAAGTGACTATTTATCAATATTTTCTGCTTGTTCTGAAACTGGCCATGGGATGAAAAATATCATCAGAGTGTCTGACACTCTGGTCTCTCTGGGCTCAGTCTCAGAGTGCCTCTGTGCCACACATGTGGAAGAAACCTTATTCATGTGCCTGTGTCTTTGGGGCCACCCTGCTTCAGGCCCTTCCTGGACCTATACAAGGGTAAACAAATCTGCCTATCTTTGCTACAGGAGCAGGAGCACTCAGGAGACATGAGCACTTTGAAGACTCCTAAGACAAGCTTGCTTCTGCATGAATGTGTAGACAAGAGAAAAGCATTAGTGTCTTTTTCCCTTTGTGTAGCTGAAGAAGGCAGCAGCTACCTTCTTGTGCAGTTGGGGAAGGGCTGTGTTTCTCTACACTGGACTGTGGTGTAGATGGGACATAGCAGGAGAGTGTGCATTTGCAAAGCTCTACACTCTTCCTAATCCTGGCCCTAAGGGGCACCAGATAATGCAGTGAGTGTCTGCTGCTCATCGACAGTTGTGTGTGTGTATCCTGCAGGTTGAATCTGTGCAAGCCAGAAATCCAGCATGCTGGCTTCCACCAAAGGGTTCGTGAAAACTGTGCTCAGCTTCAGGAATTGAGGTGAGCTGCCAGGCACTGGAAAGGATGTTTTGGGGAAGGGAGTAGCTTGTGCTTGTGTGTGAAGGAGAGCACACAGCAGGGCAGCGGACAGGCCAGTGCAAGGTCCCAGTCCCTGCCCTCTGGTTTCCCTATGTAGAGTGTTTGGATGGAAAATAAAATAAAAAAAACTAGTGGCTTCCTGTGGTATCCTTTAAAGGCATCCAAATCTTTTCCCTGTGGCCAGGTAACCTATACTCTCTTGTCATGGCTGGGAGCACCCATGGGACTTTGTGAAGTATCAATGTTGTGACAATTCTGCTGTGCCCCACATCAGTGTGCTTTATTTGTGCGGTTAGTACAGGCCTGTCATCCTCTGTGAACAGGCCAGATCTGTTGTTCTGTTCTTGCAGATGGTCCCATATTGAACTCCACAATGAGCTCACAGCCCAGAAAGCCAACCGTACCCTGGGCTGCATCAAAAGGAGCGTGACCAGCAGGTCGAAGGAGGTGATCCTGCCCCTCTACTCTGCTCTTGTGGGACCTCACTTGGAGCATTGTGTGCAGTTCTGGTGTCCTCAACATAAAAGGGACATGGAACTGTTGGAACAAGTCCAGAGAAGGGCCACAAGGATGATCAGGGGACTGGAGCACCTCCAGTATGAAGACAGGCTGAGGAAGTCGGGGCTGTTCAGCCTGGAGAAGAGAAGGCTGCGTGGAGACCTCATAGCAGCCTTCCAGTATCTGAAGGGGGCCTATAGGGATGCTGGAGAGGGACTTTTCATTAGAGACTGTAGGGATAGGACAAGGGGTAACGGGCTAAAACTTAAACAGGGGAAGTTTAGATTGGATATAAGAAGGAAATTCTTTCATGTTAGGGTGATGAGGCACCGGAATAGGTTGCCCAGGGGGGTTGTGAATGCTCCATCCCTGGTAGTGTTCAAGACCAGGTTGGACGAGGCCTTGGGTGATATGATTTAGCGTAAGGTGTCCCTGCCCATGGCAGGGGGGTTGGAACTACATGATCTTCAGGTCGTTTCCAACCCTAATTATTCTATGATTCTATGATGAAGAAGAAATGCTAGCTAAGATTTTTCTACCTCTTCCAGAGCTGAAGAAGTTGGGTATGTCCATGCTGGTTTCTCTTCCACATCTTTATCATTTGCTCAACCAACACTGATCCTCTCGGAAACACTTTTTGTCAGGAATATGGCCATCAGCTCTGTGATCTCTCCTGGGCCATGTCTAAGTTGCAAACTCAGCAGATCTCTGCAGTTCATACCAAAGGTGGTTATAGGGGCTCCGTATACATGTCTTGAGTTTTTTTTCTTCTCCCCTTTTTTGAAGTGAAAACAATTTGAGACTGAGACCGTAACTCTTTTTTGCATTGCAAACAAGTTTATATCACCCTACTGCGCGGAAGAGATTTTTCTGGTATGAATTACAGAATGGTTTGGATTGGAAGAGACCTTAAAGCTTATCCTGTTCCAAGCTCCTGCCATGGGCAGGGACGCTTTCCACTAGACCAGGTTGCTCCAAGCCCTGTCCAGCCTGGCCTTGAACGCTGCCAGGGATGGGGCAGCCACAGCTTCTCTGGGCAACCTGTGCCAGGGCCTCAGCACCCTCACAGGGAAGAACTTCTGCCATCTATCTAACCTGAACTTCCCCTGTTTCAGTTTGAACCCATTGCCCTTTGTCCTATCACTACAGTCCCTGATGAAGAGTTCCTGCCTGGCATCCTTGTAGGCCCCCTTCAGATACTGGAAGCTGCTCTGAGGTGTCCATGCAGCCACTCAGTCCATTTCACAGCCCTCTTCAACTGCCTGTAAGAAAGAGGCAGGCTTATAAAGGGCATCTCTGCCCAGTGAAATGGTGGGGTTGTTTGGCTGAGGCAGAGACTATGCTGTTTGGTACGTGTACATCATGTGAACATGTCTTAACTACTTAGTCCTTGTAGTCCTGTACAGAGGAGGTGTGGAAATCTCTCCAAACGTATGCTTCCTGATGTCTGTGCAGGCTGGAGTTTGTGTTAGGGCAGCTTGCCTGTCAGTGGAGTAAATTCTTTCTCAGTGTGCTGGGACCTGAGCTTCGTATTTGATCCTTGCTCTTTTGCAGGCTGACATCTAGCAGTGTTATGCCAGCTGGAATGGACTACTTGATCTTGGGCTTCCAGAACTGCCAGGCCATTAAAGAACTCAAGTGAATGTTGTTTCCAGGCTGTCCAGTGCCTGCCAGGTCTTTCTAGAAGCTTTAGTTAAACTGCACCCTCTCTTCTGCCTGCACCCTATACAGATGTCATTTTCCTAGTGGCTGGGGGACTTCAGATAGGGAAGAAGCAACAATTCCTTTTTATTTGCAAGAACGATGAGTGAGCAGGATAGAGATCAGAAGTCTGTGGCAGGGAATGTCTGGTGAAGAAATCATATAGTGATTGGTAGTGTTTTTTGCATGATCTTGTCCCAGCTGGGGACAAGATTGCTTTGTTTCCTCTATAGCAATCCCAGACACAGTATTTCATTCCTGGAGGATGATTTGGTAGCCTGCATACAAAGGAAGTTTTTCCAGGCACCTGCACGGAAAGCATCCTTCTGTTATAAAGTGTCACTGGACCGTGTGTGGTGGTGTCGCTAGAGTTTTGCCGTCTTGTGGTCACAGCAGCACCTTGCTCCATGAGGAGCTGCATTCTTGCTCCAGAAGTTTGGGATCCTCTTGGTGTTTCATCAGAATACAAACACGTCCAGAATAATTGCATTAGAGAGAAAAACTGAAAACTATTCACAGAAACTAGAATACATTCCCACTTCTCCTCAACTCTTGTCCTGCTCTCCTCTGCTCTGAGTGCTTGCATGACTGCCTGTTGGTAGTTAGTTGTTCCTGTGTTACTCCATCTTTTGGCTTGGGCTAAATGAAACTCAGCAGTGCTGCTGTTCCTAAGCTTGTGCTGGGGGTTTGTGAAACACCATCTCTGAAGAGGCTTGTGTAAGTATGTGACTGCAGCTTGCCTCTAGTCTGGCTTGTGGTACTGAATAGCAGCCCATTTTCCTGTGAATGTTCTTTCCAGCTTGAACCACAACAGTATTCGTAATGATGGCTGCTGCATACTCACGGAAGTCTTGACGAATATGCACTACATGAAGGAAATCAAGTAAGTTTCTCCATTCTTGCGGTCCTTCATCAGCAGAGAGATGACCACTAGCGGCAGCATTTGCAGAGACCCAGATGTGCTTATACACAGTGTTGTAACAAAAGCAGGGAGGTTGCAAAACACTCATGTATGAGGTACCTTGTGCCACAGGAAATCAGAGCTTGACATTCAGAAGAGGAGAATTTGGTCTAACCCCCCCCTCTGGTGCAGTCATGTAGAAAATAGTTTAAGCAGACTCTGGATTTAAATCTTCTCTGGATTTCCTGGGATGCAGAACATTACCAAGGACTCTCTCCTGAGAGAGCACCAAATCCAACATTCTCGTGCTCTGAAAAGATGTGAATCTAGAGCCAGCCCCAAGCTTGTTCTGCTGTTTCTCCTCCCGCCCTAGCCAGGTGCTGTCCATTCTCCACTGCAGTAGTTTGGAAAATAATAATTCTCTGTTCTCTGTCTTGGTATTCTGGCTGAAGTAATTTCGCACCCTGTAACAGATATGCTGATGTTGATTGTTCTTTGCAATTTTTTAATGCCTCATTAGCAGCTATTAGTCTTTGATGAAATAGTTGAGACAAGCAGCTCTTTTGATTCTGCTGCCAAGGTCAGACATGTCATCCAGCAGATGGGACATGTTAAATAAGATCTCATACTCTGCTTGGTTGTTAGCATTTCCCTTTAGAACACAACCTTTCTTCTCGTTAAAGTTTAAGCCACAGCAAGATTGGAGATCCAGACCTGATAACTCTAGCTCTGTCCTGCTGGAAATGCAAAACTTGGAGAATCAAGTGAGTCCCTTTGTTTTGTTTGCAGTGGTTTCGGTTATGGCCACAGATAGTGGGGAAGCCTGTGTGGGAAGCCTTGTGCTGGCTTCATTTATGCAATGTTCCATCTTCCAGTCTTTCAGCATAATTGAAGACCTTACACAAAATCACAGAATCCCAGACCGGTTTGGATTGGAAGGGACCATAAAGCTTGTTCAGTTCCAACCCTCTGCCACAGGCAGGGACACCTTCCACTAGACCAGGTTGCTCCAAGCCCTGTCCAACCTGGCCTTGAACACTGCCAGGGATGGGGCAGCCACAGCTTCTCTGGGCACCCTGTGCCAGGGCCTCAGCACCGTCACAGGGAAGAACTTCTGCCTAAGAGCTCATCTCAACCTCCCCTCTGTCAGGTTAAAGCCATTCCCCCTTGTCCTCTCTTTACAGGTCCTTGTACAAAGCCTCTCTCCAGGTTTCTTTTAGCCCCTTTAAGGACTGGAGCTGCTGCAAGGCCTCCTGGGCCCTTCTCTTCTCCAGGCTGAACAAGCCTAGCTCTCTCAGTGTGTCCCCAGAGAAGACCTGCTCCAGCCCTTGGAGCATCTTCAACAGAAAGTGTTCTTTCTCATGCCCTCCCCATGTACAGCTAGGATGGCCAATGACTTTGTCTGCCATGCAGAGACTCTCTGAGAGTGACGGTTATGACCACGTCCTGGAGCAGTCACCCACAGAGACGTGATGGGCATTTGCCAGCCTTCACTAGCTGTTTGCACAGAGATCTCTGGCTCTGTTGTGTCCTGGAAAGTAAATCTGCAAGCTTGTGGGGAACTGTACAAGTCTCATATTCACACAGCAGTTTCTTCAGGCTCTGTTGTGTTCCCAGTGTGGTGGCCCCCATGTTCCTACACTGCTTACTTTTACTAGTGGAAGTAGGGGTGAAATTGGGAGTTTATCCAAGTGAGAAGACAGTCTCTAAACAAGGTTCACTCTCAGAGACATGGATTCAAACTGTCAGTCCTCCATGGGAGTGGAAATTAGAACATCCAGGCTGCTTGTTAAGGCTCTGCTCTGGGCTATTCGTTATAATCTTTAGCAATTAAAAAAATGGCAATGACTTGAACAAGAAAAGGAAATTCACAGTTCTGTCTGGGAGAGGGAAAACTGCTCCTTCCCCCAGTACCTGCAGGGACAGGAGTGACTGAGCACTAGGCAAAGACACACTATAAATCCCCAGGCTCTTCCAGAAACCTAAGTCTCTGGACACACCACTACAGCCCTGTTTAGTCCATGATTGACCCAAGTCTCCTATCATGCCCAGCAAATAGTGAAATACTTTAAGTTGGTACATTCTGGTTCTTGTTCAGTCACTGAGAGTCTTTTATGCTTATTTTAGCCTTTCAGGGAACATTCCTAGTTCTGCTGGAGGGGTGAGGCTGATGGAAGCTCTTGTCTATTGCAAACATATGGAGGAGTTACTGTAAGTGTGTAATTTCCAGTATCCCCTCAGGAAGCTGGGCAAAAATCAGGACATAGAAACCAAATCAGATATGACTCCAGTAAAGCCCACATCAGTTTTACCTGTGGTTCTTAGGAAAGCAGGGTAAAAACTCATAGCAACATAGGATAAGTATGTGTGGCACTGGGTGTGGAAGGTTTGGGATTGGTTGTTCACTCTGAGGTTCCCAAGAACTGTACATGAGTGGGGAAGAGCTGAATCTGTGGCTTAATGGGCATATGGGCTGAACAGTGCTTATGTTGCCTGATAAATCAGCATTAATCCGTATAGCTGCAGAAATGGAGGGAAGGTGACAGAGGCTTTCCTCAGCCAGATGTTTTTTCAGTCATTCCATTATAGACCAGTCTATAAAACATATGTGCCCTCCCATATTAAATAAACCAAATTAAAAAGGAACAAATGAAGAAAAGTTACAGTTAAAATGGTGGAGCGCTTCATCACACCTTTCAATTACATTGTACTGTACTAAGGCACATATTAAAAACTGCAATTTCAGTTGAATTCTAGCTCAGGACAACTCAAAGGGAAGTCATTGTGCTCCTGAGGAGTGCAAGGCTGTTTTACTTCCCTGTTTAACTTCTGCTGCAGGATTACAAAACCTAGTTGCTCTTTCCCCCTGCCCTCATTGTCCTTTGAATCATGGACATTAGCTCCTTTCAGCATAATCCCATGCATATGTGGGTGAGGAACGGGGATCACAGGTCCCTGTGGGTGACACACATGTGAGGGATGAGGCACTGTAGTTCTCTGCCAGTGACGTTCAATTTCTGCTTCAGGCTATCTCAAAATTTTTTTGGAATCGGGCCAGCAGTGAAACTTGCCCGCTGTCTGCTTCACATGACCAGCCTGAAGGTCCTGCAGTAAGTGTTGACCTCTGCCCCAGGAATGTTGGCTATCCTGGGAATATGTGAGATGGTTGAAAGAAGGCATTGGAAAAGGCATAGGCTGCAGTGATGCACTGGTCTCTTGTTTAGACATTATTTTCGGTGTGTGAGGATTGTGAAACCCTCTACAATTACTCTGAAGCCTCAAGTCACATCAACTATTCTTGTGTAATTTCTTACAGCGTTACCTTTAGATATAAACCAGGTATTGTATATACAGTAAAATAACTCTTCTGATGGGTTATTTTAGCTTCTGATGCCTCGGGCTGTCCTTTTGTTCTGGTGTACTGTAAACATAAATAAGAGTACCTTTTGTGGTTCTCAGTGTTTTGTGCAGGCACCTCTGACTTATTTTTAACCCTGAATCCAGTACTACATTTTTAAAGCTTTTATGGAGTCTTTCCAAGGCTCTAACATGCAAGACTTTCTCATATTGTTTTACAATAGCAAAGCAAGAAATTTGGGAGCTAGAAGAGCTCAGCAGGCTTAGTTAGCCTAGTGGTGTGTCTTGCAGCATGTGTCTAAGGTATGATCAAAAGATAACTTAGAAAAGGAATCCCAGTGGTGAGAGACTTTAGTCTTCTGGGTAGGTTCTTGTCTTCACTGGAAAGATGTTAAAAAATCTTCAGACATGGGAATTCCCATCTGCTTTTTGTTCTTTGGGCTGTTCCCCACTCATCCCAATCTGATCCCACGTGCACAGAACTGAGGACAGACTCCTGGTGGTAATATGCAGCTATGGCTTTTGCAGTGACTGGCTGACTGTGCTCCTGCCTTGTGAGCATGGCCAAACTCATGAACTTCCATGTCCTTGGGGCTAAGGGTTATGGACAACAACTGGCTGGCCACATTGCTGGCCCCCACTGCTGCCTCCCTGTTTTCCAGGCCCCTTAAGATTAATCCACAGGGATTCCAGGTTATTACCAGCTGGTTCAAAAGAAGTAGCAATTATCTTCTTGGCAAATTAAGTATGAGCTTTTATTACAGCTTTATTCTAAAATAAGCCTCCAATGCTTGTGTTTCTTTTGTTAGCTTGCAGAACAATAACATTGGGCCAGCAGGAGGCATGGAGCTGGCCAGAGCCCTGGTGGCATGTGGGCTGCTGAAAGAGATCAGGTAGGACATGGTAGATACCTACCATCCCATCACTTGGGATGATGTCAAATGGATGGATCGTATCACTCTGTGAGTGAGAATTATTCCAGCTCACAGGCCTGAGACTGTCACACGGGCTTAATCCATGCTCAGGGTGACAGTCTTACCACCCCTCCTAGACATTTCACATAGGTTGAGAGGAGACACTCCGAAGGTCACTGCAATGCTCTACCTACAGGGCAGCTTGGATCGCTTCAGATGTTAAACCTTGTCTGCCTGTGCTGGCTTTCTGTGGCCACATGCCTTTGAACTACTGTATGCAGTGACCTAGGGAGAGATAAAACTTCTAAATACAAAATTTGGAGAATGGAGGTGATGTGAATTACCTCTTCCTGCTTCATCTGTGATGTCACTGTTCTTTGCTAACGTGTTTATTGTTAATTAAAAAGTTGAATTAGGATGTTGGTAATTTAGATGTGAAGTATGTTAGAATAGGGGAGGTATTGCCATGGTTTGTGTCTGCTGGTAGATGAGAACAGAGCAGCACATCCTGGTGAAGGGTGTGAGGCAGTTACTGCTGCCCCCTGTTTCTTTCGAGAGCCATGTCTTCTTTGCATTTTCACTTACTGTCATCTCCTCTCAAGTCACAACAGTTGCAACTCCAGTATAGAATCATAGAATAGAGTTGGAAAGGACCTTAAGATCATGTAGTTCCAACCCCCCTGCCATGGGCAGGGACATCTCACACTAAACCATGTCACCCAGGGCTCTGTCCAACCTGGCCTTTCTAATTCACATAGTTATATTTTGTGGTGGCTTTTCTCTCACTGTATCTGCTTTTTTTGTGGCCTCTCAAAGCTTTTCCATTAACCTTAACAGTTTATCAGAAAATGACCTTGGGGAAGGAAGTATCTATGCCCTATCCGAGGGGCTGCCATGCTTTGAACACCTCTGAAAGATTGAGTACCAGGGCAGAGAATGGCTGGCTTTGGTTGTATTCCCCACTGGTTCTGATGCCAGCACATTGTGCTATTTTTCTCTCCCCACTCCTTCAGCTTGAAATTCTGTGGAATCACTGATGATGCTTCAAAATCACTTTCTCACGGCTTCTGACAATGCTCTTCCCTGGAGGAGATAATGGGAGTGTAGGGATGGGTGGGGGGAGACCCTGCAACACACAGGTCACTCTTGTTTTAATGTCTGCATCTATTTTCAACTGCAGTACACTTCTGATCCTTCTAAATATTTATTGATACCTGCCTCTAAATAGTTTTTAGTGATAAATTTACTAGTCATTTACTAATTGACATAATTCACTGCTACAAATGTCCTGGTATAACTAGCAACTTACTGGAGTTGCCCTGGAGTAGAGGTCTGTGCTCAGCAGTCATTTCCATCTTTTTCACCTCATTCCCTGGGCCTGCAGGACTCTGGAGATAACCACAGTCCTCAGGCTCTGTGGTGACACACCCTGATGTCTTACTATACATGTGCTATACATGGAAATATGTGATGAAACTGAGGAAACTCCTCAAAATGAAGCTTGTAGAGCCAGGGAATGTTTACCTGCCATGATATGAGGGTGATAAGCTCTTGTAAACAGGCTAACCTGTGAGGGGTAGACTGCTGCTGTTCCCTTGAGTTTTACTACTGACTCACAGTTGGGATTTCTTGTGTCTTAGACTGTCGTGGAACGCCCTTGGAGATGGAGGAGCTGGAGAGCTGGCCAGTGCTCTCGCAGGGATGGAAAAGCTGAAGCTGTTAGAATGAGTGCAGCCTTGGAAGCAACACCAGGAAGACTTGTTTTTTTGTTGTTGAGCCTTCAGTCACAGGACTTACAAAAAGGCAGTGTACAAAACAGACAGACAGGCTTCTTGCCTGCTTCTTCTTGCTTAGCCTGCTCCATGCACTGAGGGCCAGCCTTGCTTGGGTGATACATAGGCATTGAAGTAGCCCTTATTTTCTTTAAGGTGTTTGCAGCATAGGTGTCTGAGCAGAAGCTAGTCTGTGAAGGCCTTCTGTTAGAGTTGGGGAAGACGAACTGGTATTTGTAGAACATGACTCATATCACCTAATAACCTCAGGTGAGCTGCCTCCTTCAAGCTTCTACTTCTCTTCAGTGTCTGGGATGTTCTAGATGGGTACTGTGCTCAGAGAGCCTTCCTTTATGAAAGCCTGCAGCAAGGCAAGCAATCCATCCCCAGGATGGAGCAGCCAGATTGTGGGTGTTGGACCATTGGAGTTCACAGGAAGCTGGGATGCAGCTCCTATGCTGGAACTGCAGTGCAGCCAGCAGTAGGGATCCATATTGTGTACTGGCCTGGTGACACCACAGCCCAGCCCTGTTAATGGGAGAGATTTTCATCTTCTGCTCAAGAACCGTTCATGGAACTTTCCTCCTTTGGAATACATGGTACATGTCTTACATCCCTCAGCCGTATGAAAACAGTAATCTGTGGGTCAGAAGTTGGGGAACTGAGTTTTGTTTGTCTTGGACAAGGAAACTGTATAGTAGAGCCTGGCTGTTTTACAGGTACAAGCAGGAAGGTTGTGGCTAAAGCAAGAGAAGTTGTTAGTAGCACTTTTTGGCACAAAGGTTGCAGTAAGATCTTTTAGAGTGCTTCAACAGCAAGACCTCTGCTTACAAGCCCTGTTGCTAGGCAGGGGAGACAGGGACTAGTGCAGACACACTTCTTGCACAAATAGGGCCATGGTATTACAGATGAGGCTGATGTAAGTTGTATGGCATTGCTGCGCTTATGCATAAGTGTAGCTCTTCTGGAACAGGAGAATCAGCCAGGGATTATTCAGCTGTTTTCCGCTCTTGATTTGGTTTTGGATTTTAAAACTGTCGTTTGTTTTTAAAACAGTCTGGAGAAAAATCACATTGGTGTCTGTGGGCCACAGAACTGGCAGAGGAACTTGTCAAATGCCCAGAAATTCAGTTCATAAGGCGAGCAGTTCTCATGGAGCTCTGTGGCTGGGTATTGGCTCAGCAAGGGGAAGTTGGGACAGTCTTGGGATAGTTGTGACCCATGCCAGCCTGCTGCCCTGAGTTAGCTGGCATGGAATAGGGTGTTGCAGGGGATGCAGACACAACCCAAGTAAGCTGAGTGTTTTCTAGACCAGCTCCACTTCTGCAGAAAGTTGGGGAAAAGAGATTGAAAAGCTTATTGGCTTGAAATGACCAAAAGTGAAATGACCAAAAGTGAAGACCCAGTTGTGTAACGTCCTTATCAGTAAGTTGTCGCGTTTTTTCCGTTTTCTTTCTCTCTACATCCGGTTTCACTTCTGAGATATGTTCCTGCTCTGTCACACTCTGTTCTGGGATGTGTATCTCACAAATACTTGGATGCCTGATTTTTCCCACTCTTTGTCATTGTGTCTCCAAGTATATCAAACTCCACTAGAAACCTCCTGTAGAAGAGACCCCACTCATCCTTCACTCATTTGAAAAGTCCTTTTTCTGAGAGTGCCTCTGAGAACTTTCTGGTTACACAGGTCCCATAGCCAAGTGTCTGCTCCTGCCTGAACTGTCTCTGCCCCAGAACTGGCTCTGTCTTCCCCAATAGTGAGAGCAATCCAAGAGCCAGAGGAATGTTTCTGGTTCCAGCTGGAACTTGGGGCCCTCTGTGCTTGCTCATCTTGATGGGCACAGCACAGCATGCAGTCCATTTGACTCCTCAGGGCACTCTGCTTCACAGGGTGGAGGCCCACTCTGGGCAGCTTTGGGGTAGACTACACCAGATGAGGTAGATGAAGAAGGATGGCTCATGTCAACCATGTTGCTTTTGTGTGACTCAGTTCTTCCTCCGCTTTCTGAGATTCTAGTGGCCTAAGGACTTTTCAAAACTTTAAGTCTCTCTCCCAAGCTAGATGAGTCCATCTCAGTGGGCAGGCAGCTGCTGAGTTGCTGCTGTGACAGGGGGATATGGCCATACCTCAATCCTGTGTCCTGCATTATGACCTTACCTCAATCCTGTCTCACTGTCAGGCCTGCTTTGATGAAATCCCAAAGCTGCCTCTTCCACTGTCTTCAGCATGCCACCTCCTTGCTCACCATGCTTAGTCCTGCAGTAACATGTTTGTTGTTGTAGGCTGTGGGACAATCCAGTGCCCAGAGGCCTGGCTGAGAATTCGACAAGCCAAGACCCAAGACTGTGTTTTTCCTTCTAGCAAAGAAGAGCCCTTGCCTGACTGGGAATTGATCTTTCCCCCACTGCCCTTAAAAATTGTACTAAAGAACCCAGGAGATCAAAGTTGCTACATTTACAAACCGTAACTATTAGGTCTTCCTTTGCTGCATAGAATCAAATGTGAACACTTTGGGGTGTTTTGATTTTTGTGAGCTTTTATTATACAGAAAAGTGAAAGACTGTAAAGAATTGTTGCTGAGCAGGCAGTGTTCTTGGAAAAATATTGAATCTCTCTTCAAGGGGATGAGATGTATCTGCTCAGGCATTCAGAAAGCCAAAATCATATTTCATTATCTTTAATCCCAATTAGAACACCTATAGGGTGCTCCAATGGAAGAATCCTCCAGGAGAGGATGTGAAATTATTTATGTAAAATTGTAAACTGTTGACCCTGTTAAAAATATACTCAACAGGCTGTTTGAAAATGGTGTATAACCATGCATGAAATACCTATGTGATTTTTAGATGAAAAATGGTGATAAGTGATTTTGTTTACTTCACAGCAGGCTCCATTTCATCCAGAATTGCCTCCGTTTCGTAATAGGAACTTTAGGACTTAAATTTCAAATCATTGTCCCCAGATGATCAGTGTTTATGCTATGATAAGATGGAAAGGCTGGTGTTGCCCTAAATTTCAGCAAGAAACTTTAAGCTACTATGGTTGTAAAACACTTTGTGAACCAGGGGGAATCACCACAGTCAAACAGATCTTTGTTCACCTCCCCTGTATTGTCTTCTGATGCCATCCCCTCCTCCATTTGAATTTGTTTAGGAGTCACAATATTTTGTTTTCATAGACTCACAGACTGTGGTTTGGGTTGGAAGGGACCTCAGAACTCATCCAGCTCCAACCCCCCGCCACAGGGAAGGGAGGGAAGCTGAGAGTAACCAGGAATGCTTGCTCCTGGCCCAAACTGTGCAGCGGCCTTGAGCTTCACCTCTACCTCATGAAGGAAAGAAGGAGGCCGTTAACCTGGGAAGCTGGGAATTAGTGACAAAAAAAAACAACAAAAAGAAGAAGGAAAAGGACAAACAAAAGCAAGGGGCTTCCCCCTAAATCCGCTGTCCCCACGCAGAACCGCTTTGCTGTCCTGCAGGGGGCTAATGAGGAAACGCACTCGAGCCAGAAACAGCCGGCTGATGCACTGGTAAAGAAGATCTCTACTGGTGCTGCTGGGAAAAAGCGGCGGGTCGTAGTAGTAGGGGACTCTACACTGAAAGGGACAGAAGCACTCGTCTGCCGGCCAGACCCCGTCTCAAGGGAGGTGTGTTGCCTACCGGGGGCACGGATCAGGGATGTGGCAGAGAGGCTGCCTGCTCTAGTAAGTCCCACGGACTATTACCCACTCCTGGTGATACATGTGGGTGCTAGGGATATAGATAGTAGTAGCCTGGGGAACATAAGGAAGCCCTGGAGGAGGTGGTTAGGGGTTCTGGAGCTCAGGTGGTCTTTTCATCAATTCTCCAGGGTACAGGGGAGGACCTAAAAGAAGCTAGGAGGATTAGCCAGGTTAATAACTGGTTAAAAGGGTGGTGTCACAGTCAGTGGTTTGGGTGCCTTGAACACAGGACCCAAGCTTGTAGGCCAGGTCTAGCGGGGGCTGGTGGAGCTGGTCCAGTGATAAAGAAGGGAAAGAGCAGTTTTGGTAGGAGGCTTGCCAGACTGGTCAAGGAGGCTTTAAACTAGATGTGTTGGGGGAGGGGGGCATCATTCCATCCCAACACACCCAGTCAGTTGCCAGAACCTATAATAAATGCTTGGAGCAATGCAGATATATCCCAGCCGCTCCAGCCAATGAGCCGGCTTCATCTGGAGCTCGGCTCAGATGCCTCTATACAAATGCCCGTAGCATGGGGAACAAAAGAGGAATTAGAGATGTGTGGACGTCTACAGGGGTATGATATAATAGGCATCACAGAAACATGGTGGGATGGCTCCTATGACTGGAGTGTTGGAATGGAATGTTACAGGCTCTTTAGGAAGGACAGGCCTGGCAGGCGGGGAGGGGAGTTGCCCTTTATGTTAGGGATAGGCTGGAGAGTATGGAACTCTGTCTGGGGACAGGTGAGCAGTCCACAGAGAGTTTGTGGGTCAGGGTTAAAGGGAATATAGCTATGGGAGACATTACTGTGGGGATCTGTTACAGACCACCTGATCAAGGAGAACCTGCGGATGAAGCACTCCATAGACAGATAGGAAAAGCCTCACAGTCGCGGGCCCTTGTTCTCATGGGTGACTTCAACCACCCTGACATCTGTTGGAAGGACGGTACGGCCCAGCACAAGCAATCCAGGAGGTTCCTCGATTGTGTGGAAGACAACGTCCTTCTGCAAGTAATAGAGGAGCCAACAAAGAGAGGTGCCATGCTTGACCTCGTGCTCACCAACAGGGAAGGGCTGGTTGGAAATGTGACTCTCAAGGGCAGCCTTGGATGCAGCGATCATGAGATGGTCAAATTTGAGATCCTCAGGACAGTGAGAAGAGCGTGCAGCAAGCTCACTGCCCTGGGCTTCAAAAGAGCAGACTTTGGCCTCTTCAGGAACCTGCTTCGGAAGGTTCCATGGGATATAGCCCTAGAGGGCAGGGGGGCCCAAGGCTGTTGGTTGATATTCAGGGATCACCTGCTACAAGCTCAGGAGTGTTGCGTCCCAACTAGAAGGAAGTGCAGCAGGAGGGCCAGGAGACCTCCTTGGATGGATAAGGAGCTCCTGAGGAAAATTCAAATGAAAAAAGAGGCTTATAAAAGGTGGAAGCAAGGACAGGTGGCCTGGGAAGAATACAGGGATGTTGTCCGAGAAGCTAGGGACCAGGTTAGGAAAGCTAAGGCCCAGTTAGAATTAAACTTAGCTAGAGGTATTAAAAATAACAGGAAGGGATTCTATAGGTATGTAGCGAATAAAAAACAGACTAGGGAGAATGTAGGCCCCCTCAGGAAGGTCTTGGGAGAACTGGCTACACGGGATTTGGAGAAGGCTGAGGTTCTGAATGACTTCTTTGCCTTGGTCTTCACTAGCAAAGGCTCTGACCAAACCACCCAAGTCTTGGAAGGCAGATGAATGCAGGGACTGTGAGAATGAAGACCTTGTGCCCACTGTAGGAGAGGAACTGGTACGAGACCATCTTAAAAATATGAACGTGCACAAGTCCATGGGTCCTGATGAGATCCATCTGCGGGTCCTGAAGGAGCTGGCAAATGAAGTTGCAAAGCCGCTGGCCATCAGATTTGAGAAATCATGGCAGTCAGGTGAAGTTCCCGATGACTGGAAAAAGGGAAATATAACCCCCATTGTCAAGAAGGGGAAAATGGATGACCCGGGGAATTACAGACCAGTCAGTCTCACCTCTGTGCCTGGCAAAATCTTGGAGCAGATTCTCCTGGAATGCATGCTAAGGCACATGAAAAACAACAAGGTGCTTGGTGACAGCCAGCATGGCTTCACTGAGGGGAAATCCTGCCTGACCAATTTGGTGGCCTTCTATGATGGGGCTACAGAACTGATGGACGGGGTAGAGCAGTTGATGTCATCTACCTGGACTTGTGCAAAGCGTTCGACACTGTCCCACACGACATCCTTGTCTCTAAACTGGAGAGACATCAATTTGATGGATGGACCGCTCGGTGGATAAAGAACTGGCTGGCTGGCCCCATGCAAAGAGTTGTGGTCAATGGCTCAATGTCCGGCTGGAGACCAGTAACAAGTGGTGTCCTTCAGGGATCAGGGTTGGGACCGGTCTTTTTCAACATCTTCATCGCTGACATGGACAATGGGATTGAGTGTGCCCTCAGCAAGTTTGCCGATGACAGCAAGCTGTGTGGTTCGGTTGATATGCTGGAGGGAAGGAATGCCATCCAGAGGGACCTCGACACACTTGTGAGGTGGGCTGATGCCAACCTCATGAAGTTCAACCATGCCAAGTGCAAGGTCCTACACCTGGGTGGGAGCAACCCCAGGCACAGCTACAGGTTGGGCAGAGAAGAGATTCAGAGCAGCCCTGTGGAGAAGGACTTGGGGGTGTTGGTAGATGAGAAACTTAACATGAGGCGGCTTCAGTGTGCGCTCGCAGCCCAGAAAGCCAACCGTATCCTGGGCTGCATCAAAAGGAGCGTGACCAGCAGGTCGAAGGAGGTGATCCTGCCCCTCTGCTCTGCTCTTGTGAGACCTCACCTGGAGTATTGTGTGCAGTTCTGGTGTCCTCAACATAAAAAGGACATGGAACTGTTGGAACAAGTCCAGAAGAGGGCCACAAGGATGATCAGGGGACTGGAGCACCTCCCGTATGAAGACAGGCTGAGGAAGTTGGGTCTGTTCAGCCTGGAGAAGAGAAGGCTGCGTGGAGACCTCATAACAGCCTTCCAGTATCTGAAGGGGGCCTATAGGGATGCTGAAGAGGGACCCTTCACTAGGGATTGTAGTGATGGGACAAGGTAACGGGTTAAAACTTAAACAGGGGAAGTTTAGGTTGGATATAAGAAGGACATTCTTTCATGTTAGGGTGGTGAGGCACTGGAACAGGTTGCCCAGGGAGGCTGTGAATACTCCATCCTTGGTAGTGTTCAAGACCAGGTTGGACGAGGCCTTGGGTGATATGATTTAGCGTAAGGTGTCCCTGCCCATGGCAGGGGGGTTGGAACTAGATGATCTTAAGGTCCTTTCCAACCCTAACGATTCTATGATTCTATGATACCTTCCAATAGACCAGGTTGCTCCAAGCCCGATCCAACCTGGCCTTGAACACTGCCTGTGATGGGGCATTTTTATCTCTTTTATCAGTGTAAAATATGCTTTCTTGACTGTTTTTCCTCCTTTTTTTTTTTTTTCATGGGGAAAATGTACTTCAACTGAATAAATGAGAATGCTGCTCTGATGAGCATTTTTTTCCACTTTTTTTCTCTCTTTTGTTTCTGGGTGGTGGGTGCTGACCCTACATGGCTGTCTTGGGTAGAGCAGCCACTGTAGAGAGATTTCTTGGGTTTGAATTATGTCTCTGTTTCCCCTTGCAATAAAATG